CCCCAACACAAACAAACACCATTCAATAAGATCAACGTTGCTCGTCTTAGAATGTTTTTTTATTAACAAAGTGTTGGTGAGAGTATTTCTTTATAATCCTCTCCTTGTTGTACATATTATTGACAAATACATTACAAAAAGCTTGGTCGAGGAGCGAGCTGATCTAGTGGTTAGGAAGTCCCGGGTTCAAATCCTGCCAAATCACCAATGGATTTGATCTAAGTGATTGCCACAACCCTAGAGGTCTAGTCTGACGTAATGTGAAAAACAATCCCAGGCTCGTACCTAGCGTCTTAAGGGGGGGGGGGCTGTACATATATATCAACTAAAACTTTAGTTTTATCTTCTTAGATCATTATACATCTCGATATAAAATAATCAAAGCATCAACATAAGTTAATAATACTGTAGGCCTATGGCCCTATGGGGATTGGTATATTTTAATCGAGGACACTCCACGATTATGGGTTGTTGTACATTGGGTTTCAATTTAATGTTTTAATTTAATTTATGCTTTAAAAACTATGTTAGCATAACAGAATGGTCATACTTAGTATTATTTATTATTATTACCATTTTTGAGATGGAGACGCTACCTATATGTACATATTAATATAGATAAAATCCAGATAATTAGACCAATTCGTATATACAAAGGCAAAAATGTGGTTCGGATTCCACAATAATAGAGCGGAGGCTGGCGTTTACCCCCCCTCCCCCCCCCCGTGGGAATTTTCGACATATACATTTTTTGGTTTGTATTGACATGTACTTTAAGGTTTTAGGTGTTTGCCACTTGTGAATTACAGCATGTTTCGGAAAAACACAAAAATATCATGATAGTTAGAATATATATACATAAAAAAATTTGTTTTTCTTTTCCGATTTCGTTTGGCTCTTTTACCCGACCGATTTTTATGATTGAGGTCTCAAATTGAAGGTATAATCGTACAGATTGCACATCAAGCATCGGCATATATTTTTCTACTGTCCCACTCGGCTTATACGTAAACGACATTTTCTCCCCATGTATTTCTTATGGGAGTTAAATTTGGTTTTTCTTTTCCGAGTTCGGTTGGCGCTTCTACCCGCCCGATTTTCATTATTCAGGTCTCAAATTGAAGTTATGCACGCACAGATTTCACATCAAGCATCAGTATATATTTATCGACAGTCCCACTCGGCTTATACGTAAATGAAATTTGCCCCCCATGTATTTCTAAAGGGAGTTAAATTTGTTTTTTTTTTCTTTTCCGAGTTTCTTTGGCTCTTCTATACGTCCGATCTTCATGATTGAGGTCTTAAATTGGTAGTATGCACACATATATTTCACATCAAGCATCATCGTATATTTATCTACTTCATTACTCGACCAAAAACATAGATTTGATATATTTTTTAATTCGTATTTCAATTTAAATTGTACGCTATTTTACCATTTATAATTGTACCCTATATATTTTGGTCTAAGAACCTTCAGTGAAATACCGGCTCGCATTTAAGATATTAGTTATTCAAATCGGACGGGTTTCAAGCAAACGCAAGGTGAACATCCAACATAAACAAAAATATAAGGTTTTTCTATGATTGAATATCAATAGCTCCAGTACATTGTTTACGTTTTTTATATGTTTTAGACTCAAAATAATCAGTAAATTATAGGCTTTAATTTGAGCTATTGATCGTTTGAATCAGTTAAGTTTAAGATACTGTATTACACAATAAAAAATCATAAATTTGATTATTTCTCGGATATGATATTTATTTTAACGCTGCAGTGCAGCATGGGTCCTTTAGTATAGATTTTTTTTAGTTTGATTTGATTTGATTAGTTGATTCCTGTGCGTAGGACGGGCCCACAGCTAGTTAGAATTTGAAAATGCAAGTATGGTGAAGTCATCAGATTGTTCTCACAGTGACATGCAAGCAAATGAAATGAAACGAAGTGAGCAAAGTATTTTGCAAGTACTGTACTTGATGCTTTTGAACAATGCATTATTCTGCTTGAAGTTGAAAACCGTGATCAGAATTCCTAGATGGTCTGTTTATCATCTGGAAGACCTGTACCCGAATCGGTGGAAGACAATTTACTCAATGTAGACTCTAGGGAAAGCTGCATGCAAACAGATTAGTTGAGATATGAGCTAAAAGAAATATTTTTCTGGAGTTTTACTGCTGTCCCAGGAACGTGATATTAACCTTGAGAAGCTGATGACATACCCATTAGATCCAGGACCATGGGCATTAGCCACTACCGATGGATGCCCAACAAAAACAAAAAAGGCCAAACTGCTACATGCTTTGGAGAACAAGGGTATATAGTAGACGAACCTTCCAAGATTGAAGAATGTATGTATGTAATTGACGGTATGGCTTACTTTTAGGTTCGTACTAATATTCCAGAAACCTCTGGTGAACTAGCACAGATTGCCTTCAGCCGTTTTCCGAAATTCAGCAGGATATACTTTATTACGGATACAGTACCTATTTAGATGTATCTATTAAGAACATTGAAAGGGAGAAGGGGATTTGGAGAAACGTTTTTAATGAGAGGTCCAAAATCAAGATCCCACGGGATTGGAAAAAAATCCTAGCTAATGGTAAAAATAAAGAACAACGGGTTAACCTGCTAAATAATGAATGGTCTCAGCACAAATATGCATAAATTCAAACAAGCTTCAATACACGTTTCTAGGGTAATATAAGGTTCTTTTTTGGTGATATTTTTAAAATTCACCCCCCCCCCCCTACAAACAGGGTTGCTAAGAGTAACTAAAATTTTTTTAAAGGCAACCCATATCAATCAGCACATCAGCACATTAGTTTAAAGATATTTAAAAAGAAAATTATTGTCGCAAATCCGATTTCGATACGAGGAAAAGAAAGTTTTAAACGTTAATTTTAGCGGAACCTTACATTCCAGTAAAATTTACGTCAAAAATTTCTCAATAAAATTTATTTCATTTAAATAGAATCTCCTAAAATCTCTTTCCTAGAGGTACTCGTTAAATCTAATGTTATTTCAATAGATTTAATTGAAAATCAATTCAGGCCAATTTGAAATCCGCATTGCCTGCAGGTTTGCTGCAGCGGGGGTATTTTATTCACTTTTTTATTTTCATTTGAAGCCTTTGAATACATACTGAAGAAGTCCATTTAAAAATATTTCACCAGTAATTAACGCAGGCTACCCTTATGTAATTTAAATAAAACAGTTTTTAAATTTAACAGTTTTTCTTTATTTTCCGGAATACGCTGTAATTTAAAAGAGGCAAACAACTGAATTCTTAATCTGGTAGGTAATACCAACAAAAAAAAGTATAAGTCATAAATTCCCACGGGGGGGGGAGGGTTTCATATTGGTGGCTCATGGTCTATAAATTGTAGGTCCCTTAGTTGCCATTAGCTGTATGGGCTATTAATTAACAGCTGTGTCTAAGGGATATGTCGGCCTTAGTCACTAACAAGACTACAAGATCGCGCCACTCATCCTACACTCATCTCCATTCATACTTGGCTTAAAATACCTACTTTGTATGGTCGCCATTTCATTGAAAAGTATTAAAGTATAAAACGTAATACCTTGGTAGATTTCTCATCCTTATGAAACAGCTGAAGCCAATTCTATTGATAGTTCTCTACGGCGCACTGTAGAGGTTCTGTTCTGTTTACAATTTGTTTCTTGTTATTTGAGTCATTTAAACCTCGTTTCAACCCGGACATGAACTAGACCCGCAAAACAAGCTTCAAAATGTACAATGGGATGAGAAGTCTACTTGTGTTGGTTGGTTATGTTTTATTATAAATAAAACATAGATAAAATCTATGGTTTTATCTGTGCTTCAGAGTTGCATAGCCAACAGAAAATACTGTATGTTTTTTCCACATTATCTGCAGCTTGTAGCACCTGGATAGCGCTGGGTTCACAACGATATGGTAGGCATTCGGTTAAATATCGAGCTTGTTTTCTACCGGATGACAGACATCGACTTTTAGTATCGGCATCGGCTCTCTGGCTCACCGCACCGGCTGTCTCATACCATAGATTAAACATACTCCTCAAGGAGTTTAAGCATGTTTAACATACTTGAGGAGTATGTTTAATCTATGCTCATACTCATGGTGGAATAGTAAACTATTGCCTTGGTGCCTTCTGCTGCAGCTGCTCCTATAGCTCCTATGTCTGTCGTCAAACGTCATAATGTGGCCTGGCCGACGGAAGGCCATAATTTTATTCACAATATTACAGTGAGAGTGAATGCAAATAAATAAGTACAACATAATATCTGAACCTGGCATAAAATTTGCCAATGAAAATGTTTATTATCCAATTACATTAAGGCTGATAACCAGCATGATAAATACATAAGAACTTAAATTACGGAGGAATTTTAAAATTAATATTCCAGTAACTTGCGCAATTAACGCCAGATAAATTACCACCCCCTTACTTTTAAAAGCGTTTAGATGACCTTTGCATATTTCCTCCATAATAATGCACTATGCACCATGAAACTGATCAAAAGGAACAATGTTGGAATAAATTAAATCAAATATTTTCCTCTCCTTTTAGGCTAGTCCTAGTAGTTTTTGTAATCTCTTGTCTTCTCTCTTCTGTCTGTCGGTGTTGGTTGGTTTGGTTTTTTTTTAACAAAGTTTATTTACAATCTGTTTTACATTAAACAATTAATAATTAAATACGATGACATTTTTATTAATAAAATAAAAATTGGAAAACATGAGTTAGCAGCTAAACTGGTTTGTTTACGTTTTGGTTGGTTGGTTGGCGCTATGGAAGCCAATCGATTTACGATATTCGATAGTAGCTGTTTTCATACTACGACGATCGATACTTAACCGTATGCCTACCATATCGTTGTGAACCCAGCGCTATCCGTAGCACCTGGCTGCCTTTGGCGGGAACGCGGGAATCGTCGTAGCCGAGAGAAGAGAAGAAGGTTGTTGTAAGCAGCTGGAGCTGAGCTCTGTATGATGATCATGATGGTTCAACTTCAAATTTGTCAACATTAAATAAACGTAAATTCCGTTGATTTAGTGAGTGTTTGTGACAGTTATTAAGATTTATACATATTCAAATTGAAAATGTTGTTCTACAAGTGAAAGAAGGTTTGAGTTTTAAGCTCCAGTAAATTCGTGCACTAATAGAATAGGCTGTCTAAGAATCAGGATAGACTTTATTTTGCCTATTGGAATGGAATCAACGACTTCACTCTCCAAGGTATTTCTTGAAACACCACATAATATAAGAAATGCTTAGTAACTTTAAAAACTATCACTTTTGAAGACACCTTATCTTTGAACTAACATTAATGTTTTTACATTTCTGGAGGGAGATTAACTTAGGTTAGGTTATATTGCTTAGTTTGTTATCAACATTTAACTACTGTAAGTTATGTTTATTTAACTTATTTCTTGTTTTGTCACTTAAGTTAACTTAATGGGTTAAGGAAATCATAACCTTTTTATGAGTTAGGTATCAAAAATACACTCTACAAGGGTTGATCGATCAATGATCGGGCTAGGCCCAGGCCTAGGTTAGGTAAGTTATTCAAATTTACTGTTTTAACAACTGAGTTTAGCCTAGTAAACTTATGCTGTTTAAGTTGAATTAGGGATCTTACTGCCACACTGAAGACACTCTTTAATCTTAAATGCTAACGCTAACATGCATGCAGGAAGACTAGGCCTAGTATAAAAAATAGCCTTTATCCATTTTTGGTGAATACAATACTTTTAAGCCTAATACTTTTCATTGAAATGGCGACCATACAAAGTAGGTAGGCCTATCAATGGCCTACCTTTACCAGCCGAAGACGAAATATTACGATTTGAGTTTGTTACACTTCTTGTAAGAGTCAAAGTTAACACCTGGTCTAGCTACTTGACCTTTTGTTAGATGGTATCATTAAGTTTAGGCCTATTTGATAGCCTATTGGCAAATTGTATCCAGGTATAAATTTAGTTAGTCCTATTCCGGATTTAACCAGCAAACTTTAGATTTGAAGGCAAACACCATTTAACCATTGACTACCTAGATTATTATAAGATTGATAACTCCTAATCCATTAATGTAATCACTAATCAGCCAACAATTCTCAGGTAAAGTTACAATACATTTCACACCTTCAGAGTAGGCATAATCAAAATTTTTTCATCTGGTCAAAATTAAATATATTAGTTAGGCCTACACATTCCTAGAAAACTGTAGAGCAATTAAGTTTAGTTTCAATAATATTTAAATTTATATCTTTTATTTCACAGGGTTGTTTTGTATTTGCACCAAAATCCTCAAAGACGAAGAGAAAGAAACGAAGTGAAGTTAAAGATGAATTTGATGAGTACAACAGCATATCACAAGTGGCCCAGTTTACAGAGATCATAAGCGCAATCGAAAAACAACTTAAGGTAATCATCAAGGAAGCTAAAGCCTTAAGCCCCCCATACACTATCGAACATGCCACCCGACCTGACAACCTGACCTGACGACGGACCCATCATCCAACCTGACTTATGTCGGGTGTTTCCCACACACTGTCGAGCATGTTACCCAACAAGTCAGGTGAAATATTAGTTCTGAGATGGATTTTGAGACGACTGTTAGCTGTTTGAGGGGGATTTTTAGCAATGATTTTAGGGATTTTAGAGCCTATTTTTTAATGAAGGAACTTTAAATCACACTCTGGATACAGTTCCTTGCACTTTTCCATCAGAATATCGTGCCCCTACGCGCATGTTTGTTGCAATAGAGTTTACTTTTGACATCCCACAACGCCTTCTGGTCTCTGTAGAGATAAATACAGACCTGTTTATTATTATTAAATGACATTATGGAAAAATGGGACGGTTATCACGCACAACTCGCTAAATACAAGTTAACTGGAAACTGTGGCTAGTAGCCTACGGTTTCCCACACAAGGTCCAAAATGTCAGGCGGACGGCTCGAGTCGGGTGGTGCTATCAGACCGAGCATCCAACCTGACATATCCGTCGAGCATGTCGGGTCGGAACCCACACACTGTCCAATATGTTCGACAAGACGTTGGATCCCGACATGTCCGTCCAACATGTTGGATAGTGTATGGGGGGCTTTAGTGCTTGACTAAAAATAACCTTTTTACCACCACATTGCATTATTGAACACAGTTTTTTTTGCTGCAGTATGACATAAAAGATCAATCAAACACTAAAGTTTGTTACTCCAGCATTCAATAGTCTGATATCATAACAAAAGTGTATTTTTTTCTTTCCTTTACACTGGATATCTACCGGTAATACTTCTGATCATTAGGCATAGTTCGGGGTCAGTTGGCTAAGGTCAAAGTACTCAAAAATCATAGTTGAATGAACGCTGATAAGTTCTCTAATATCCAGTTAAGATTAAGTCAATAGACCTTTTTGCTATCTATTTTAGCAATATTATTCTTGTCAGAACTGTTATTTTTAGCTGGCACTCAATTTTAATTTTCCCAAAGTGTTAGATTGGCCAGAAGCTGTAGTGCGTTTTTGAGTCAACAAAATGTGAACTGGGGATACGGTGGGTGAATATTAATTATCAATTATTTAAGATGGGGACGCCACTATGTGCGTATTTTAACCCAAATATGAGTGAAGGATGAGTGTGGGATGAGTGGCGCGATCTTGTAGTCTTGTTAGTGACTAAGGCCGACATGTTCCTTAGACTTAGCTGTTAATTAATAGCCCAAACAGCTATTGGCAACTAATGGACCTACAGTTTAGAGTGGAATCCGAACCACATTCTTTCCTTGGTAGTTAACGAATTGGTCTAATCATCAGGATAGTACTGCGGATAGTCGAGTACTCACTTGTGCGGACGTTAATCCACACCAGGGAGCATCGCATCCACAGTGCATGCCTATAAATATCCACAATTTGTGACCTCCTAGTAGCTGGATTACAGGATGACGCCACCCGTCCCAGTCTAACTAACAGGGAATTTTGCTTTACAACTAGGTATCGGCATTGACTATTGGATATTGAAGTAGACGTCCCATCATTATGGACGAGCTGTAGCCAATTTTTTTGTTAAAAAGAACGTAGTTCTGTGAGCCAGTCACAGTATGCGCTAGTGACTAAAACTATATTTCCTACCTTATTTTTTGTTGCTGGCCAAGTTTATGGGTCATAACAATTGCTATAGCTCACAATAAGTCATTCCATTAGTTTGAATTGGTTGAAAAAGATTTTGTATTCCACAGAATTTAGTATCAGTAATTTAGATCAGCACAATCTGTCGGTAGCTCACATCAACTACGATGATTTTGAAAAGAAAATTGGCTACAAATTTAACATGAGGATTGAATGTCTAGTTGTATCAATAGTAAAAGGTATCGGTAATGTTATAGTTCCGGAATCTCAATATCAGGTTTAACCAAAAACCTTTTTGAAGCCTCCATTTTGTTTACAAAGTAAAGTTCTGTTTTAATTTAACAGTTATGTCTAGTTTGAAAAGAGTGTTTTTGATGCTATATTACCTATACAGATTCTGTGAAAAATAAAGATGATTTTGTTTGATTTACAGGAAATCAATACAAATGCTTCAGATGAAGTACTGCAAGAGTTGGTTCAGTTTGTATCAAAGTGTCCCAACTCTGATTTCGCTATTCCTACTGCTGTACTTCTTACAGGTTAGTAAAGAAACGTTTAGTGATTATGTTGGTTGGAGTATGTTCGATGGCAATATCAAGCTGCATAACAGACTAGTGGCATAGACCAACCATCAACCAATACTATTAGACTTCTTATCCCATTGTAAATTTTAAAGCTTGTTTTACATTTGTTCTTGTCCGGTGACACTAGGCCTAATTGCTGTGTTGACGAAATTTTGTTTCTATTATTTTAGGGTTGATTTGATGATTTATGCTTTACTGTTTGGTTATACAACTAGGGGACAGTTTATAGTTTATGAGTAGATTGTTTTTAGTGGTTAAACGAGAAATGACTGAAAAAAGTAACAAATTGTGAACCAAAAACGACCTCTACAGTGCACCGGACGGAACTAACAATAATACTGTCTTCAGCTGATCCATGAAGATGAGAAATCTACTAAGGGAGTATGTTTTATCCATGCTACTGGCTACAAAGTTATTCTCGTATAGAATTAACAATAACAATAAAAAATATGTGTCTTTTGTTTCTATCCGCAAAAACCACCTGACCAAAATAGCCGCAATTGTGAACTAAGAAAATCTATAGGTCCAACTTGAATTACCACTGAACACATACATTTTCAAGTTAAAGTAGATGTTGCTATTCGATTACACCAGCACATCAGGGTGCATATTTTAAAACGGACGTTGGGGAATGGTTAAATTTGAATGAATGTAATGACAACTTTGTACCTGAGTTAGATCAGCTGGCTATTTAGCCAGGATCATTTATAGAAAGCTTGATGATCAAGACAGCTGGCTCCAGTTTCAAACTCCCTATTCTGTTTGGTTTAAACAACGGTCCAGGTAGTCTAAGCCTTACATTGCTTTAAGTATAGCCACTTAAACAAACTAGTTGGAACCTGTTTGTCTGGCGCTGATTGGAAAATTGGTGCTGAGGTATCTGAACTACTGGGATCTTTTGTAGTTATATGTTTAATAATGTTCTCATATAACTAACCAAACACAATGCTGCAGGTGTGAATTTACCAGACCACCGAGTCCTTTTTCAAGCTCTTGCTGATCGTTTGCACAAAGAGACGACCAAACATGTCGCAGTGTTGCTGTCAAGCGAATGCACCAATGTCAAGAACACCATTGAACAGTTTACTTCACAGTTTCTAAAACAATCTACAACTTCAATAGATTTCCAGGTTATAACCAAATTGAATATCTTACTAATATCATTGACTGTTGGATACCAAATGTGAAAGTTTGTGTGTTTGTTTGAAGTTCAATCACACATTAACTATGGGGGATTGGGTTGAAATTTGGTATGATGATAGCTCACATTCCTGATTAACATATAGACATATTTTTATCTCAAAAATTCATACGGGCTCTGCCCCAGTGGCTCTAGAGTTTCCCATGTTAACCTTATGAGTTGGTTCTATGATATTCAATAGCATTAAAAGGTTATAAAAGGTTTATCAACAGGGTGCGGCACTATTAATTCTTTTTGAATTTACGACAACAAATAATTTGAACCAAACAGCAACCAAAAGGTGTGAGAAATTTACTTTATTCTATTGTTTAGGTGCAGTGGTAGAACATTATGGCTATGGTAGATGCGCTATACTATAGTTATACCGTAAATAATAGTAAACCAAATTTTCTTAAAACGTGCCCTGTCCCATTGCAAATGCAAAGCACAAGTATAACTGCAATATTACTGTATTGTTATGTTTTCGCTAAAAACCACTACGGATCATACAAAGACAGCAATTAGGACAACATACTTTATATGACAATAATACTCCCTCAGGTATTTTATAAAGCTAAATAGAATTTTTAAAAGCAATAGAATTTTGAAAAGGTTTTGGTATTGATTTTGGCCTTTATCTGAATTTTATTTTAATGTTTCATAGTTATTGTGTCTTTCCATTTTCATCAAAATATTTTTCTCATGGTCTGTTTTACATTAGATGGACATCGATGACAGTGATAGTGAAGAAGAAGACGTGTTCGATGATGTAAAACGATCACAGTGCACGATGCCTAATTTAGTGAGTTGGTACGAGGAGTTGACACCTCAAAATGATAGTCCAAGAAAAAAGACAAATAACATTCCTCGAGAAAAACTAGTCATCATTGTTCCTGATTTTGAAAGCTTCTCGACTAAAGTGCTGCAAGATGTTATCCTAATATTAAGGTAGGTTTTCCATTGTTAACATACTTACTGCTGAAATGGTTAGCTTTTTGACTCAATTGGGCTGGAAGAAATTGACATGCTGAGCAAGATTTGGAGTGAGTAAAGCTCTAGCTATTTTCAGTGAAGCTGTTAATAGATAATAGGATGAAACTTTATCTGTAGAAAATTTAAATGGAAGAATGTATTTCACTTCAATAACTTTACATTTTGTTGTGACCTATTGACCTAATGACATTGACACCATTCATTGTATAGTAAAATCTTGAGTCTCAATTGTCTGAACTTTGTTTATATCCCTCCGAGTGTCATGCGTCGCTGCAGCGACTCACGAACACTGTTTACGGCGAAGGCTCTATGACTGACAAAATCGGATTGAACTGGATCGAGTTAGGTATCGTTCTTTTCGTTAGATTCTAAGCTTTCTCCAGAGGTCTGTCTCTAAGCGCTTTATGTTCTCCGAGCCGATCGTAATTGTAGCAGACAGCTGACGTGCGTATTTGTAAACAGGTTAGTTAACCTCGGACCGATGACTGATGTGTTTTATTATGTTTATCATTGTTTTAGTGTTAAAAATCAAAAGTAGTGATATACGTGGTGCATTATAAGAAGATTTAAGTGATTTTGAAGGGCTGGTTGATGATCCTGAAGAAGTAGGTAGTGATATTGATGTAAATTATCAGCCAGATTCCTAGCTATGGTTAGGCTATGCATTCTTAGCTAAACGCTATGTACTGAAATCTGTTTTTTGCCCATAACTTATTTATTTGCAAATCTACTTACTTATATTATTATATATTTGTAATCCTCATAAAATTTAGAACAAAGTGGCTATTTTCAAATATTTATAGGCCTATAATTTATACAATTTCATTGAGCGCGAACTTATTTTTTTTTCAATTTTTCCAAAATAGTTTTTATTTTTACCTAAAAAAATTTTTTTGAAACAAATATTCCTTAGGTTTTATGTATGATATTGAGGCCCATGATTTTCCAAACAAAATGGTATATAGAACAGTAGAATTAACATTGTTTTAAGCTTTTCAGATCCGTTTTAATAAAACCTTGCAAATGCGCCAAAAATAGGCGGACATTAAGGCCTAAACTATGGACACTCGGAGGGTTAAAGGCCTAACCTTGATGACCAATTGAGGATCAAATAATGTCAAATCATATGCTATATGCATCAGGCTCACTTAAACTTTTATTTTGTTATCGCCTGCTACAAACCACCATGGATTTAAAATTCCAAAAAGTGCATTAACTCATTTGCTGCATACTGCAAGCAGATATCTGTGACTGAGAGTACAAGTATCGTTTTAAATCTCACATTTTACTGTTACAGCAGTAGTGAATTTACCTTGTTCTGGTTGTTTTTTTATGATGGCTTCCAATCAGAATATGGCTATAATTGGTTGGCAGTACTTGAACTAGGGACTATACACCAGGGCCGCTATAGTAAATGGGCCGGGTGGGCTAGGCCCCAGGGGTACAAGTGGTTTTAGGTTTGTTGGGGGCATAACTAAGAGAGATTCCCCACATGATTCCGCTACGAAGGGGGATGTCGCAATTATGTCACACACAGGCCTGATTTAGTCCCACGGTCTACCATTTCTTTAGCTTTATCTCCGCATTAGGTATGATTAAAGTATTACTGACTGAGATGATAGGCCTTCTGAACGTATTGTGTTACAGTGGCTACCTAGATAGACTACCCATAGTGTTGGTGTTTGGAGTGGCCACTTCAGTCAAGGCACTACAGAGTTCCCTGCCTCATAGGATCACATCCCGGATGGATGTTCGCATGTTCCAGTCTAAACAATCGGTCCACTTCCTCAACAAAACTGTAAACGAGGTGAGGCTGGCTAGTTATTTAGGTTATGGTAGTTGCCTAATGATTAGCTCATTAGCTTATATTGAAAAGTTATATAAAACCCCATTGTAGCAAAGTGAAATGACTGGCTGAGTACAGACAGTTAACAAAAAGGTCATTAGAGAGAATGAAATTGATGTGGGCTGGTAGTACAGTAGAACCTTGATTATCTGGGGTGATGGGGGGGGGGGGGAGGGAGACCACAGATAACTGAAACCACGGTTAATTCAACATGACATAATGTAGATAAAACATTAGATAACTCTTAAAAGAGTATAAAATCATACTATTTAACGTAAAATTAGATAAAGATAACAATGACATAAAAACATTGTTTATTCTTTCTCATTGTTATTCCATTCTTTCTTGGGTTTCTCCTCATACACACATTCAATAAGCTGTCATGGTTACTAATCATCCAACCAAAGACTACTAAAGTTGCCATGGTTACCAATTACCCAATCACAAACTGTTGTGAGTTGTGATATAGCAAGCGCACAGCAGACAGAATGATGTGTAAGGAGCAGACAATTATCAGTGCAAGCAGATTGCTCGACCTTGAAGCTATCGATGGCCATTTCTTTGTTCTGCTTCCATATATTTTTGTCAAATGAAATTTGATGTTTCAAAAACAATAAAACTGCACATAAAAATGGTCAGAATTAGTGTACAATTCATTTCAACATATTAGACTAAAGAAACGCAATTTATAACATTTTCTTGGTATTTTTGCGGTTATGTAACTTAATTTAAGAGGCATCTATATTGACCACGGTTGATTCGCCGCCCGGTTGATCCGCCCCTGGTTGATCGAGGTTCTACTTTGTAAGAAAATGAGTAGGGTACTGTACAGACCTCTCATTAATGAGTAGCTCGAACTATTAGAGATGAGGGAACTAAAAGGAAATAATAATTATATACAAGCTATGCTTACAAACAAATTTGTCTATACTAAAACCAAAAAATAAAAAAAGTCAAACATGACCTTTAATAAAAAGATACTAAGAATTATAATTTTTTCTTGTTACAGGTTTTACTGTCCTGGCAAAATTCAAGAACATACCCATTTCTTCTTGGACCCAAGATGTTTAAATTACTGACTGATGTTTTTATTTTTTACGATTTCTCTGTTCATGGCTTTGTGCAGGGTGTTAAGGTAAATACCTATTTTAACATTTTTTACTAGTACTAATTATTGATGGTTTGTTTTAAAGGAAACAGTCTGCTTTTGTTGAAATCTTTGAATTAAAGACTGTCTGTTCTTCAATTGAGTTAAATAAACTAACTAATTAATTTTCAATTGCATGCTTCTTTATGGTAAACCATTTTTAAATTATTTAAATAGTATGCTGTTTTGATGTCGCTCTCAATTATGTTTTCAAACCATCCGTTCTAACTTATGAGTTTTAAAAGAATTTTTCTTTTCTTTTTTATTCCTACATTTTTACAACACTTTTAAGTAATTGTTCTCTTATTATGCCAAGTAGAATAAGAACAAGACATTGCCTTGCGATAAAAATGTAGGTTAATCAATTATCCTAAATATGACCGCGCGGAGTTGGTCTACCCCCAGTCACAGTCAATTTTAAATCTAATGCCTTAAATTTTTTTGGGACAAAGTGTTACTAGTGAGCAGGTAGAGAGTTGGAAAGCAGGCCAAATCTGAGAATTTTGGGCCGAAATGCTACTGGGACGAAGTGTTAGGACACGGTCAACTGTTAGGATAAGGTGGAGGGGATGGAATTGTTTCCCCTCAAACCGCCTAAACTTTTTGAACGGAGTATAGTCAGTCATATTCTTGTCTGTCTCAGTACTGTCTGATGGAACATTTCTACAACAATCCTCTGGCCCGATTGTGCTGCTCTCGTGAAGACTTGGCAGAAGTGGTTGACGAACTTAAAAATGAAGATTTAGAACAACATTTCGGAAACAATAAGCAGTTTCAGGCATATGTAGAAAAGCTTCCGATGCAACGGATGGAGAAAATACTCAGTTTCACTAACAAGGGAAAGTACTTCAAGGTAATTATTTTTTAAATGATTTCAATTAGATTTTGCTAAATATGTTGTCAAAGGCAATGTTACTTCTAGCCTTAATTAGATTAATAGAATATTTATTTGAACTTGTAATATTTGAAATGTTAAAATAGAAATGGTTGTAAAATATATTGTGATGATATATAGTGGAAATCGAGTGGTAATTCAGCAGAGGATCTGTGATTGCATCATTATTGTCAATGTATTTCTAAATGTTTCTGACACATTTTGTCAAAATAATAGAAATTGCTTCATACAAGTTGTTATGAAACGTCTGCGAATCAGCTGAATTTAATTCCGCCTAGTTTGAAATAAAGTGAACTATTTCCTTAAAAGGACGATGTCAAATACAGATATTTGCCAACAAAATATTGATAACATTTAATCTTTTCAGGAGCTCGTGTTGGAAATGATGAACAATTTACACATACACAAAGACAATCTGTTGGTAGCAGTTTGGCTGCTTCATACACTAGTTCATGATCTGCCTGAGGCACCATTAGGAAAACAGGTTTGTTCTCAATTATACTTTGGTGTTGCAGACTACAAGAAAATGTATTGTAGAAAGAAATTTGATTATGTACATTAGTTTAGTGAGTTGGTGGCTCAGTCGGTAGCGTCGCAGACTTCGGGCCCAAGGCAGTAGTGTCGTGGGTTCGGATCCTGGTCACTGCCACTAAAATTTATCAGTACAGTTCACCTTTGTACTGTACCAGCTCACTCCTTGCTTTGCTGTAAACGTTCCACGCACGGGCGCTTAGTCTATGTGGACGGGCAAATGCAAGGTTAAAAGAGGCCGCCAACCTCTTTTTAAAAAAAAATTGAAAAACTAATTTGAAATGAGAAAGTTATTAAACTGAATCAATTCTTTCTTTTAATTCACCATCATGATATCCCCCCTTTCAGTTTATTAACCATCATGTTGCATTTAAGTGGCAAAACAGAAAATTGCCAAAGATTATACAAAATGTAATGCCTATGTTGGGCATAATCCATCTTTTTGTACAACTCTATGTAACAAATTATTGTTATTTAGATTGAATAAAGTATTTTTCATTTTCATTTTTTCAAACTATCATATAATAAATACACTTATGGTGATTTGCTCTTTATTAACCATTTAAGTTCCTCTTTGTTTACAATCCAAACATCTGCCCAATTTATTGTCTCATTGTCCTTAGGTTATGTTACTTGCAACAAAATTTGACCAACATTTTCCAGGTTCGTGAAGTCTACATTGAAGCAATGTCTGGACCAACTTTAGAGCATCCAAAGTTCCAAAGGTGTTTTGAACTTCTAAATCTAATGTCAAAGCAAGATCTCGTCCAAAAGTTGACTGAAGTGAGTAGACTATCAGAGATATTGATTTGAGGTATTTCCTATGATATTGATTTTGCAGCTCCAGTCTACCAGATTTGCTGATTAAGCCTCTTATATCCTCGTCTCTTAAAAAAACTGCCCCTCTCCCACCTGCTGTAGATGTTTAACTTTCTGCATTACTTTCTGCTTTATACATTTATGTCATGCCAATCCTTCTAAGTATCTAAAATATCCCCTTAAACCCCATATTTCGGGACCCAACCCACAATAGGATTATTGATGTTCTTATATATTTTAAACCTGAAAGTACAAAAATAAAAATATGTCAAATAACATTTAAATATATATATAGGATGGAGAGGACATAGCTAACTCACCTGATGAAAGGTTGCAGACGAGTCAAAGAACACATAAAATCACACACCAAGCTAAATGCTTTTTCCTAAAAACATAACGTCAAATAACATTTGTAATTTTAAGCCACATTTCTGTAGACGATTTTTGACAATTTAATCATGTTGGGCCCCTTGAGTTAGTTTGGCCTAAGGCCGCAAGTACCTTGATTCCGGCACTGGGTATTTTTTTTTTTTTTTTTTTACAAAGTTGGACTGGATTTTAATTTCAGAAGTTTGTACTTCTGTTACATAACCTAATCTAACTAACATGTGTTAGTTTTTTTCTATACAAGATGTATTGTTGTGTTTCAGATTCTGGATATACTTAAGGAATCAGAGTGTCTCCAAGTAGAGAGGAATAAGTTAACAGAGCTGTTGAAACTACTTAAGTCTGCTGGTGAAACTTTAAAGAGCCCGACAGCTAGTCCATCTAAAAAACCAATAACAATGGACACTTTTAACAGGAGTGATAGGGCAACATTTTACATGGTTTGTACTTGTGCTTGTGACTTTAAATGATTTCTTATATGTTTGAACTCCAAGATAGACAAAAACCTAATGTAACCAAACTTCCGCTTACAACGACCCATAACTTAGACCATAACAGTAGACTGTTAATGAAGATCAATGGCTGAGCTTTCAAGATTAAACCAACTTGTAGATTGATTATCTTAATTCAGTGTGTATGTGTATTTCTGTCAGTATAGGCCTAACAATAATGCTTTTTGATATTTCTTTTATTTATAATTATTTGAATAGTTTAAAATTATTTTAAGGATCTCAAAAAACTGGAAAACTCCTTTTCTTCAGGCATTGCATTTCAAAGAGTTAAATTTACCTTGAAATAAGACAAACTAGGCTTTATAAGAATGATATGTCTACTTGAAGCATCCAAAGCCATTTTAACAAACTTGTGAACAATATTACCAATAGGCCTACCATGTTTGTTTATATTCACTTATATTCATTACCAATTGATCTCATTAGCTTTTTGAGTCTTTTATACCAAACTGCTAAATGTTATTGGCTTTCAGTTTCATTGTGTATTATTTTCTGATTTTATTTTTAAATCATGTTTTTTTCAGTCAAAGTATATTTTCCCCATCACAGGCTATTTGTTATATCTAAGATCTAAGTTAACAAAATCTATTTTACAGCCACTGCTCAAAAAAAATGTCCGGGAAGAAAATGAGTTTGAGAAAGCTCGGTCCAATCTGTTGTCGTATCTGAAGGAAGTTTTTAAAACCTATTTGATCTCACCAACCACCCTGCCATTGCATGAGGTATGTTTGCTACACGAATTGCGTTGTTTACGTTTAATGTCAAAAGTAAAACTCAAAATAACATATAGGCCTACTGTAATTAAGTTCTAAATAATGTAATAACAATTACAGAAAGTAAATCCAAATCGTTTAAAAACTTAAACATATATTTAGGCCTACATTCGTTCGCCTATTTGAGTTTAATGATAATTAAATTTTCCAATCAAAAAAGATCATTACTTATACCATTTCATATAATCGTCCTAAAAATAAAGAGTATATGTGTTTCAAGTGTTATTGGACTATTTTTATTAATTTTCCGTAAGTAAAAGTCCTAAAATTCACAAAAAATTAATATAAACATAGGTTTTGCAATCCCGTTAATCCCTAGATTAAAAGACATCAATCCTGGGATTTCTAGGTATCAACAATCGGCCGAGACCCCTAAAGGTAACCAAATACTTGTATTAAACATTTGTTGTGTTATGTTGGAAGGTTTTGTGCAAAATTAGATTGTGTTGTCAACTGAAAGACTGAAGTTGGTAGGTCTTCTGGTAGTAGTGATAATCCTGATTTCTTTTTGCTTTAATACTTTTCATTGAAATGGCGACCATACAAAGTAGGTATTTTAAGCCATGTTTGAATGGTGATGAGTGTAGGATGAGTGGCGCGATCTTGTAATCTTGTTAGTGACTAAGGCCGACATATAATCCTTAGCTGTTAATTAATAAGCCCATACAGCTATTGGCAACTAAGGTACCTACAGTTTATAGTGGAATCCGTACCAGAAAAGTCAAGGTTATGTGTCTACTTTGTACATAAATCTGTATGAATGCATTTGTTATCTATTATTTTCTTCAGAAAGTTTTGGAATGTTGCTTTTTTAATGTAGGATTTGCAAATATTTTGATTTTGCGTGATTACAGGCAGTTTTGATTGACAATGTGTCAGCTAAAAGACATATTATTGGAGCTCCAAGGGCTGCCTTGCACACTGCACTCAACAATCCCCATCATTACTTGCAGGTAAGAATCAGAAAAGAATCTGCAACTTTTTTTGTCACTGAGCAAAGTTTGAATTTTTGTTCCAATTGAGACTTGAATAACTTCCATGAAAGGGTGTTAATGTGTATGGCAAAGAAGGTTGTCTTCTGCCTGAAATTAAGTCAATCCTCCCATATAAAGTGCAATTCATAAACTTATATAAATTAAGTAATTTCAATTTGATGTTAGAGTGAAGACAGCAGACAGGGAACGTGAGTAGAATCAGACTTCACTGATTATAAACATAATAACAATCAGTGGATGAAATAAATGAATAATATTAAATGCTGGATTTATTTTTATTTTTTATATGTAAAAGTATCCTTACAAACTAAAGTTTTATGTTTAATGTAAATCATCAGCTTTCAATATTTTTCTAGTGTGAATGTTGCAAGATATCGAACAACAGTGAGATCCTCTCGACGATGCCAGACATCTGTATTGCTTACAAACTTCATTTAGAAAGTGGAGCTCTGATCAACATGTATGATTGGTTGCAGGTTTGTTTCCTCTTAAATGTGTTAACTCCTTATGCCTCGCAAACTAATGCAATTTTTATCACGTGCTGTCCTCATCTTATGTCAAAGTTCACAGTTAAAAAAGTTTTTGTTGCGCCAACATGCAATAAAAGAGACTAACAAGTATCAAAATGCATGATAGAGGTGCAATCACAAATATTACACCCATCCCATCAATTTCCACTCAAGACGCCATAGTTTATTTAAGTTGGCTTCTCTCACCAAACTCTACCACAGACAGTTAATCACCTTTTGAGTTTCACACAAAATTTATCTCAAGCCAAGACATAAACCCGCCCGTGTTCTATCTGTGTTTTCTAAGCGGAGACACAACACCACTGCTCTAATACTTAGTTAATCCAAAGTCCAAGCAATGTATTTTTAAGGTTGACTCACAGGTTGTATCTTATTTAATTTCTTAGCTATTTTCATTGCGTTACGGATAAAACTAGCATTCATAGTTGTAATGTTGTAATCAAAGATTTGGTTATGTTACAATTATTAACGTAATTTTTTTACAGCTTCTTATGACTTGGCTAGAATTAAACTAAATTGAATACATTAGGACAAGAAAAAATACCAATAACTTATTTAGCTATTTGTGTATTAAGAGCGCAAAGTAGTTCCTTGCCGCTCGAATACTGTAGATGTAAGAAACATAAACGCCAACCGTGAAATCAGCTGATTGGCGAGCAAGAATGATCCATTCCCGCTCTAGAACGGCAATGTGAGTATTGTTTGCAGGTATGGCAATAATGTGATCATTTCCATACAGTGGTAGGAAAAAAAATACTTTCCTTCTTCCTTGTTAAGTGTTAATAATAAGTTCCTTATTAGTTAGTAACACATTTAAAAATATTGTTTGAAATTTTTTATGCTCTACCTAAAATCTTGTTATTTTCAGTCATTCGTAACCATTGTCTCCCCTGGCGAAGAAGACAGGGACGAAAGGAAAGTGGATCCAGCCATTCAGTATCCTTTTTTCATTTTTAAAAACGTAATTTGATATTTCACTTGGTTCAAATTGAAACAAAAATAAAGGATTTATATGGTAATTTAAGTCCAAACATTTAAGTTTAGTAGAAACATAAACTTATAAGGAAAGTCATGGTTTAATGGTTTGCTTAGTTTTTGTTACAAACAATGTGTATGTTAGGCTGCAATACTAAGTCAATGAGATAATACCCCCGCCGCAGCAAACCTGCAGACTAAGCGAATTTCCATTTGCCTGATTGGATTTACACTAAAATGTCTCCTTAAAAATATCACATTTATTCCCTATTTAAATAGAATGAGTTAAAACACATACTTAGGTTTGCTGCAACAGGGAGGGTAAAAGTGTTTTTTTATGTAAAATGTTAATAGTTAGTAAGAAATAAAAACATTTTCCAAATTTGGGCAAAATATGTTAATAAACAAGCAAACTACAACAGTTTACTTATTCTCCATAAGAATAACATAGGAATTTTAAATTTACAATTTTTTGGAATTTTCTCCGTAACCGATAGGCGCATTATAACGCTTCAATATACTAAATTATTTGTTTTTTTAAGCTCTACAAAATAGTTTAGAAAGAAATTGCAAAATTTTATGTTTTTTGGGTCAAAAATGGGAAAAACCCATTTTTACCCCATAAAAGCCCCCATAAACCCCCGTTCCCATGGTCCGATCATGCTGGTTCGCGAACTCGTTCGAATAAACGTAGGTTTACACGTTTGTACCAAATTTGATCAAAATCGGATCATTTTTGCTCGAGTTATCGCGCTAACGGACACATATATAAATATATATATATATATATATATATATATAAATATATATATATATATGAATTTGAACGAATGGTGTTTTTGGCCTCTAGGGACCTCAAAACGAAAAAAAAAATCGGTCCCGGGTCCAGGTCTTACAATGAGTACTACGGTAATAGCTTATTCCCTATATGGGAAATTCGCTAAAAATAACATAACCCATGCAACTTTAATTTTTACCAAAACTTGCATTTTATTTTCTGGATTCTTTTGTATCTACTGGATGAAAAAAAACTGTCAAAAGTTGGGTTTAGCATTCTACGCTCTTGTAGCCTACACCTGTAGTAGTGCCAGAAACCTGCTATGATGAAAGCTTTCTGTAGCAAAGCTAAAACATGAGTGATCAGTTTATGCCTGTGATATCGTTGAAACCTGATGATCAAGTTTGTGAGTGAAAATTTAAAAACGTACGTTTTCAGGAAAGCACTTTGCAAATTTTTTCCCCTTTTTTCAAAACTTTTATTATTTTTTTTATTTCATTAACATTTGAAGTTTCATAAAATGTCCATGGTAACGCAATATCTTTGGTAGTTTATTTTAAAAAGAGCATCTTTAGTGGAAAAACACAAAATCCTGTCACGACCATAACAGACGTTTAAATGAATATTAAAAATAGTTAGTATTATTTTTATAACTATGTTTTGCTATAAACTAATTTACTTTTATGACCATTATACAATAAAAAGGTCACTGAGCTTTTGGTATATTTGGTCTTTTTAGAAAAAAATAAAAAAACTCAAAAAATTGAAAAAAGCCAATAAAATCTTTTTAAGTTTGTATAACTTCGAAAAAACTTACCTGAGACCCGAAAAATCGTTATGTTTGTATAGAGGTGTGCATCTTTTGTGTATAAAACAGTGAAATATGACGATATTTTAATTTTTGAAATTTTTATGATAGAAATCATAAACATGATGGTCAGGGACAAGCGGTACGGTCGTGAATTTTCTGAAATAATCTAAATCTTTCTAAACAATCCTTCAATTATACTGTTAGTTATAATAAAAATATGTGTTTCAGTTGAACTAAACTGTTCAATTTACAATTATATTAAAGTTATTGTCACGACCAAACACACTATAATCCATAAGGCTGGATTGGTCGTGAAAAAACCCGCAATGGTCGTGAAACTTTGGTTGTGAAATTACGTGTTATTTGGCTCTGTTCTGGCGGTAGCCCTGCACCTCATGTTCGAGGATACAAAATGGACTTCTAGGTTAATCTAGCAATTGAAATATCTTATAAACAAAAATTAACACCATGTCTACTTCATCAAATGACTACGTACGGTCATGGACACACCAAAATTACAAAAAACACAATCTTTCCTTTATTAATCTTGTAATTCCTCCTTTCAACTCGAAACGACCGGCACTACAATCCTGGCGTACACCCTGAACTAGTCTCTAAAACCAACTGACTCCATCGACGCCAGGCTTGCCACTGTCGTGCTCCAAAGTTGAAAATTTTTCCCAAATGGTCGTGACGCCAAATCGAGGGACAGACTGATTTTGTCATGGTAGTCAGTTTACAATGACAATAAAATTATAATATGCTCCTTTTTTGTAAGTTTAATAACCATTGATGACATAAAAATATGGATTTATAAATTTCGGCATGAATGATTAGTCTAAAAACAGTGTGAAAGTTGGAAAATGTACCCTAGGGACACGTCATGGTCGTGAATTTCGAGACTTTAAAAATACAAAAAAAATACCTAGAACCTATTTAAAACCAAATAAATGTGTGTAACATGTTGCACCCGTCCCAAAAAATATTAAAACACATAATAATAAACTACAAATCCAGTATCTACGAAGTAAAAGGCCAGGGACATGAAAACGTACGTTTTTAAATTTTCACTCTTGTAGTGTTAGTGTTAGTGAGGAAGCCTTAGTTCTTAGTCCCTATGTTGGGTTATAACATCGACTTTGAATACTGCACTAGCCCTCCCATCTTGGCCTTTAACAGAGTGTATGCAATATTTGAAAGTCCATTACCTCTTTTGTTTTTCACACTAATCTATTTGATGGGTCATATAAAATGCTATTTCCTCTGCAATTGCTCTTTCATATTTAAAAGATATGTCACCTGTTTGCATTTTGTCCAACGTTTATGTGACAATTAAAAGATATTTATTTATTTATTTACCACCTAACCTTACTTTGTATTTAATAGTTGACACTGTCTGCCATGTTTCTTTAACCGTCCTTCAGAGCTCGCTTCACAAGAGCTGTCACTGAACTTCAATTCCTCGGCTTTATCAAGGGCTCCAAGAAGAAGACTGACCACGTAGCCAGACTTACCTGGGGCGGAACGTGTTGAACAGACAATTTAGTTAAAATGTTTGTTTTATAATGTTGAACTGGCAATGTTGTGTCATTGTAATGGTATTAACTTTCATTTAGTTTGAGGAAAACTTTGAATGTGAATATATTAAGAATACGATGATACAAACTATGGCGATTGTGGATCATCTCAAAATTGCTGCGATTCTAGGTTAAACAACTTTGTTTATCTATTACCATCAACAACAACAAGTAACTAATATTGATTTTTACTTTTTCTCCCTATGCACAGTATATAAAGAAAGTATTGTTTTAGTCAACATTTTTAGAGTTTGAGATTTTGTTGGATATATCCAGTTTGGGTCCTCTTGAACCCAAAAAAGTGGTTTTCGAACATATGTACTTACCTGTTAACAACTATGGTCCTATAGATCACACATGTGGTCTGATTTTGATGAAATTATGTAGGTGTTTTTCCAGTTGTGTGTTTGTTTATGCTCCAGATGTTTTTCAAGTTTTGTTTTTGAAATTTTGATTTTTAAAGGTGGTTTTTCAATAAAAACCTATAAAGAACAGATAATCAAAAATTCCCAAAAACGACCCAAACCATTTTGATTAAAATTTAGTTTGCTATCCTTTTAACTCTTAACAAAATGGTATAACCCTTATTGCTATAAAAATTACCGTTCAAAAGTTATTTTAATTTACGTCATTTCCCATTAAAAAACCTAAATAACAGGAAAATCTGACTTTTTTAAATGACAATCCGTCAACCGATTAAATTAAAATATAGTATGTTATGGTACTTACGACTCTAAGGATTTGGGTTCAACTCCATTGCTGTAAAATGAACGGTTCATTAACACTTTTGTGATTTTCTCCATAAAATTGCATTGTTACTCACACCGCTTACCGATGATAAAGATTGTTCACAAGCTAATGGGAGAAAGTATGTGTCAGATTCCTGATACCGTTTATTTATTTATAAAATTTTCCATCCCGGAATGATGAGGGAGCAGCAATTTTGCAATATTCCCCTCTTATCGTCTTTGTATTGTATTGTGACTGTAATCATGTTCCAAGTGTTTTCTGCCATACTAACACACTTGATTTTGTGTTGTATTGTATACAAGTTGTACTTGGACTAGAGATTCTAAATCTTATCTGTTTAGGATCCGGATTTGAGATTAGAAATTCCTTGATTGGACCATTTCTAATAACCATACCTGATTAGGTAACTGTCATTGTATCAATTACACAATACATTGCACAATTTGTTGCATTCAATTCATAAAATTTTTTGTGATGAGTTAAATTTTTTTCTGCTTATTTGCTTTAGTAAAATTTAACTAATTATTATTAATTTAATTAAAAATAAAAATATGTATAGTGATATTTTTGTAGCTCCTTTTCAAAATCTAATAGACTTGGTCAGTGCCTTAAAAAGCTCAATATTGGTTATAAAAGGTTTTTTTTACACGGTTAATAAATCTAAGCTGTGATGAACCCAGTGGCGTAACTATGATTTGTGTAGTAAACTAATTTTACAAGGTTTACCTATTTAATGAAAACACCCAGGCAGCGGGAGTAAATGTAGAGAGCAGTAGGGGTGTCATTGCAGGCAAGCAGACGCCTCGATTGGGTTGATTTTTTTAGTTCTTTTGAACGTGATTACACCTCTACAATGCCTGAAAACGCGAGTTTGGAATTCTAATCCCCCCCCATGAGTGCAGACTTTGAGCTCATCCATCCCCCCCAAAGCCATGTTCTAGTTACGTCACTGGCTGTAACTGATGTATAATGGATTTTAATTTTTAATTAAAAGTTCACAAATGATGTGTGTGAAAGTGTGATCCTCCTACTGTGTTTGTGTTATTTTATTTTAATTCAAACAGTATTGTGAAAAATAGTCATTCTAGTCAATGTAAATACATTTCATTGTTTAGTTAAAACTCATTTCTATTTGATTCCAAAGTGAAACTCAAACTTGCAAAGTATTCAAGATAACTAATTGATTATAACTGACAAAAATTGACTTTGAAATGTAGTGTTAATTAATTCTAAGCAAGTACAAAAAAATTTTAAACTGTATTTGTAAAACCACAAATTTGCTTTGTACAATTTAAAATATAGTTTGATCTTAAAAAGTTTCATAATTTTTACCCTACATCCTCTGTAGATTTTAGTTATTGTTTATGGATATATTAATTAGCTTTGAACGTTTTGTTTTTCCCGAAGAAACACGTAAGCTTAATCACACACAATCTTAATCGGTTGGCTATTTGATGGAGGTATGTTACAGTTATTATTTCCTTAACAAAATTTAAAAAACCATTAATTTGATAAAAATTATAACTTAAGTTGTAAATGGATATAGACATTTTGTAAGATTTGTTTTCTTATGCATAGTATTATTTTTTATTATTTCAAACTGAATGATCAATTCATTATTGTATTATAGGCTTGTTCAAATACAAGTTCCTCTCTTGAAGTAAGCCAAACACTGATTTCAAACTATAGAAATAAACAGTAAAAAATACTTTTGACTGGAAGTAATACAAATACTGTAAGGAACTGTGTTTCTTCATTCTGATTTGTATGAAAGGATTAAAACGATCCATTTAGATTGACGTTTTTAAGTATAAAGCTACAAACACAAACTATAAATAGGTAATCTATAGCCAACTATTTGTTTAAACTGATAAACTAACTATAATTTACAAGAACGCTATTTTAGAGTCAGTATAAATATTTAGTCTCAACACATAGCTACTCTGAGCTTGTGGAGAATTCCAGCAGAAGTTAAAACCAGTTTTTTTGTTCCCACAAGTAAAATTAATTATTGCAGGTCGGACCCAAGGTTTCTTTCCCACGAACCTTGACCCCGTTCGCGGTGTTTTAGAAGGGGAGGGTGGGGAAGATGGGCTGGGGCTGGGATTCACTTCATTCATACTCGCAAGGCCGGTTCACAGTAGTCCGTGACTCCATAGAGGAACACCCGTGAGCCTCGAGTTAAATCAACACTACTCAAAATGCATACTGTGCCCGAAACCAATATTTTAGAATATAAGCTGATTAAATCATACTTGAAAAAGAGAAAAGGATTACATGTAACTAGGTACCAATAGTGTAAATTTATTTTTTAATTTTTTCTTTACATAATAAGTTAACATATTTTGTGTACCAGTAATCAATTGCATTTTGGTATTTTTCAATTTGTCAGATAAAAATAATGTCACATTCCAATTTTTTTTCCGTAGCAGCAGAATGATTTGACCTTATTTTTTGTGGTGAATTCTGAATATTATGCAAGTTGGTGTCCCCAGAGCCATAAAACACTATTCGTTCAAATTTTTATATATATTTTATGTATAGACTATATATTATATTACATATAGAGCCTAAAAAAAGTAATTTAGTATAACAAAGTGTTTTTGTACACGGAGAAAATAAAAATGTTCATTTTAAATTCCCATGTTATTTTTATGGAAAATATTGTAAAATGTTGTAGTTGGCTTTTTTATGGTTATATTTTGATCAAAATGGGCAAATCTATTTATTTTATACTTGGCTATTAATTTTTTAATAAAAAAACATACTTTATTAGTTTCCCTGTAGCAGCAAACCTAGGTACTTGTTAAACATTTAATGTTAATTTAATAGATTAATTAAAAATCAATCCGGGAAATGGAAATTCGCTTAGTCGGCATGTTTGCTGCAGTGGGGGTATTTTTATTTTACAGTGATCTGTTGGTAATACAACTTCTTATAGTAAAATTACGATTTTTTAGAGGACTGAAGCATTGACTATATAACACTACTATAGTCTAACTATAGTATACTATAGTCTATATAACACTACTATAGTAGTGTTATATAGTCAATGACTGAAGTGACCACCTCAGCCTATTATTGTGCTTATCCCAGCATTTATTGTGTGCACACTAATATGTCATTATTAATTTATTGAAATGAAAGATTTTGTCAAGAAAAAGTAACTATCAAAATTAAACAAAAGACAATTATTTACAGAAACGAAGTGGTATACTGTAATTTACCTATTCGTAATTAACCTATTCGAAACAAAACATTACTATCACGGCTGCCTAGGTGGACGTGTTACTATCATAGCCCCATTTAACAACTCCGTTACTATAGTGCTTTACTTTACTTTATGCTTTATACTTCCTTATGAAAAGTAGAGTGTATTTTTCTAGTAAGTATTCGTGGTAGGACTTGAGCACGGCCGCCAACGGCGCGGCGGCCGTGCCTTGAGACTAAACAAAAATAACGATGAAAGTCATTGATTTTAATCTTCAAGAGTTCAAAAATTAATTTGAAATCCTTTAATACTGTACTGTACAATTCCTCTTTGATTTCTGTCATCGCGCGTCCTTGAGGATGCATGTGAACGGGTCTGAAATTCTAGCTGTCAAGTGCTCGGCTGAGTGCAATATTTTGAGTTCATTGTGACTGAATAATGGTGAATCGCCCGTCGGAAACATCAAAATGGCGTATGTGAATGTTGCAGAATGGAAACCGGACCAAGTTACCGATTGGCTTAAAGGTAATTTACCTAATTTGTTATTCAGCAGGTGCTTTGAGCACAAATTAATCTTTCTTTGTTGGTGTGATACTGTTTAGGGTGGGTCTAAAAGTACAACACTGTTATTTTGAAAGATCAAACTCCCTTCCATATTTGGTCTTAATAAGCCAAGGCTCCAGGCCTAGCCTGTCACTGTTGGGCTAATAATATTTTATTGCTTTGCGATTTTGGCAGACAAGTCTGAGGCTACTTTTTAACTAATATCCCGGAAAATGTAGGCTGTCCTTGTGTTACTTTCAGCCCATGGCTGGTTGATCTTGTAGGCTACTTTGGTTAATAACAGCCCTAGGTCTTAACTTAAGGCTTCTCAATGTTAAAGTTTGGCCTCTTAATAACCTCTGAGGCTTGAAACATGATAGAAACAATATTAGAAGACCCTATAATTCACCCCAGAAAGAAGATCTGGATTTGACTTAATGTTTGTGTCCAGAGTTTTAATCAGAATGAGAATGAGAATCTTGGGTATTCCTTTGGTAACGTAGGCCTATTGTAAGTTTGTCTTCCCTGGAAGCATTGCGCTACTCAAGAGTTTTCCTCAGTTCTTTTAGGCTTCCTTTCCCTCAGAGTCCGGTCATGAGATAGCAATAACCCACGAAGTTTCACATTCTTGAATGAATCAGGAGTGAAATTTTTAAAGTCAAGCATAGGTAGCCAAGTTATTGGAAGGAAGGCGCATCAACAAAGGGCGATTTTTTATCTTGCATTGGCTTCCTGAGACGAATAACATGAACATCCTTCATCTATCCTCTTCCTGAAGCAAATCATTTACTAACCCTTCATGATCGCTATTTTTAGCCACCTCCAGAGAGCAAGATCTGTCTTCAGTGGCTCCGTAGATAAGTATGTTCTTTGAACGTCGGTTCCGATCCGTAAGGTAAACATACCAAATACCGAACGGTTAAGGTTAGGTTATGAATTAATCTGTAAAATATATTTATAGGTATAAAGTAAGCTTTTTTTGTTGTTATTAAAATGATTGCTTATATTTCCAGATTTAATTTTCAGCGTTTGAAGTCAATAATAATAATATTTATTACCAGAAATTGTGTTTTTTTCAACCAATACCAAAAATTTTGAAACTGCCTAATACCGAATTCGAATTTCCTAATACCGAATTTGTGCCGCCTAATACCGAATGGCAATTCCGCCGGCGCCCAGGAAGCCCAAAAACGTATTGAAAGCAATTTTTATTCTCATTTAATTCTTAAATTATATCTCATACAAGATTTAACAAATAAAAATAACAAGAGTTGAGTTAAAACATGGTTGTGAAGGGGATGATCTCATTACGTCAGCTGGTATTGGTTAGACATTCTCTGGAATGTGAGTCATGTAAGTGGAGATGGGGTGAGTTGACCTCTGGTATGTTTTTTGCATATTTCAATATAAACAAGGACAGAATGATGTCATGGTTATATAATGTAGGAATGTAGAGGGGCTAATCATATGGCAGTTCAGATGGTATTTTGGGATTGGCATTCCCAAGAATCTGAGTCATAAGGGGTGATGAGGGTGTGTTGGCTCTGGTTTGTTATTTTGCTAAATAACATTTAATAAGTAAGAAAGCTACTACGTTTTTGTGAATTTTGAAAATATATAGGCTAACTATTATGATTGTAATAATTTCCGATTTTACTTAGCTGTTTACAGTTACCCTAAGTTAATAATTTGTAAATATAACAGAAAAAAACGTAACATTCTCGGAAGTTTGGAACTGCTTCAGTAGGCCTAATACACTACTTTCTGATAAGAATAACATTCCAAAGTATTAAATATTTGCGAATTTTGAAAATAGATATAATTATAAAGGGTAATAATTACCGATTGTTAGCTGTTTACAGTTCATAATGTGTATATATAACACTAAAAACGTAAGGTTCGGCGGTTCGGAACTGCTTCAGTAGGCCTATGAAAACCATTTATCTCCTAATAAAATTGTTTCAAAGTATACATTTTCGTAATTTTTGGAAAATTTATAATTTTAACTTGTTATAATTATGTATTTTATAGCCATTTAACTTACAATTAATTTATAACTAAAATTATCCTACGAAAAATGTAACAACGCTCGGTAAGTTAACTTAGTTTAAAACTAGCCTACTTCAGTGGGCCTAAAAAGACCATTTTCTGCTAAAAATATTCTTTTAAAGTACTCTACTTTTATAAAATTTGGCAAATATATGATTTTATTTATAACTAATATGGTTTATATAGGTATTTGCAATTAATAATAATTAAAAATCAGTAAATATATCATGAAAAACGTAACGATCCGAAATTAGGAAGTACCGCTGCCTAATTCCGAACATGCGTTCGGAACTTAGGCTTAGTGTACATTTCGCCATCCTAATTCCGAACGGCTAGAAAATTAATTTTAAAATAGTTTCTGGGTCTTTATTATGGCTTAAAATGACAGAAAAATATTTAAACTTGCATATTAACAACTGTACTTTATTAAAAATTGGCCGGTATAGTTATTTAAAGCCTAAGAATCTCAACCACTTTCCTAAGGAAACAGACAAGAGATTTTAGAAATTTGCAAAAACTGTGTACAGCATTACCAATCACGGCTTACTGGATCTAGTGGCCAATGACGATCTACAAACCCATTTGTCTGCAGACAGATTAAAAGCCAACGAATGCTTTAATCTTAAGTAGGTGTTGATCAGATGAAGCATATGCTTATTATTTGAGACAAAACCCATCGCGTTCGGTATTTGGCAGGTGTTCGGTATTTGGTATGTTTACCTTAAACTCTTCAATGGCTTCTTCTATAGAAGATATGCTAGGGGCAGAGCGTTGAGAAGCTTGAAGCTGCAAGAAATCCTTCTTAAGCTTTTCTATGCGTGGTTCTAATTGATCAACGACACAAGTGAGTCCTTTTTTTTTATGTCATCGATACCCTTGGAGATCGTAGGCTATTCAATTCATCCTTCGTAGCTAATGATGACAATGTATTTAAGATAATATCCAACTTCGACTCAATAGGGTCTTTAATATCGGAGGTTGTTGGGAGTTTGCAATCGAATCGCCCACAATATTATTTTTTTAAGAGTCATTAGTGTATAAATTATGATTAGTTGAGTTTAACGGAATACAGTCCATATGAAGCCATCTATTACACACTCCGTCAAATTGCAGTGATTTTTCGTCATCTTTGACAATTTTAGCTCAGACTAACTTAGACTTTTTAATTTCAGAACCTCAATTGGGATGCGAGATGCCATATTGCAATCGAAAGAAATCCAATGGAAGTTGGAGCTTACTCTTTATATAGGTAGTAGGAAAGACGACATGACACCATGACAATATGATAACTTAGTTAGAGCCAGGGTTGCCAACTTCTGGAGAATTCCCCAAAATCCGGGGATTAGGAGTTTGCGCTGATATTTTTCCTTGTTTTAAAAATTTCCAGGGATTTTTGAAAAATTGGGCTTTTCCGTTAAAGTTATTTGCTGACAAAAGGATCAGAAATGTAGAGCGAGAGGTTGGCTGATCTGTGATTGGTTCATAATGACGTCATCTGTATTTCTTGCGGTGTTGCTGCTTTCATTTCCAAACGAGTCACTCAAGTAATGACTACCAACTCAGTTCTCAACTGTTGGATTTCAAAAATACCAAATCCTGTTGTTGGTTGAGTTGAGTGTTGACGATTGACTCAACTCTCAACCATTAAATAAATAGGGTCCCTGCTAACCTAAGTTGAGTTAATTGCAAGCGATGAAATTTTGTATGTTGGTACTGTAAGTTAATCCATGGTATCTCCCCTGGCGTTTTTTCATTTTTTAAAATTTTATTTTAATGGGGATTTTTTCATAAAAACCATAAAATTGAAAAAAAAAATTTAATTTTTTCATAATTGGTCCTAAAGATTTTTTTTATGTTATACTTCATTTAACTCTGAACAAGATAGTACAAAACCCCATTGCTGTAAAAATTATACTATTCAAAAGTTGTTGCAACTTTTGTGATTTCCCCTATAAAAATCTATTGATTCACAAAATAATCAGGTTTTAAAAACAAAACGACAACCAAATTTGATTCAAATTGTTTGTATGTTGTAGGCAGTCCTTTCAACTATCAACGTGTTGGTACAACCTCTATTGGTGTAAAAATTAGGCTACGGTTTAAAAGTTATTACAATTTGTCATTTTCCTAATAAATTATCAAAGTTACTCTCATTGCTTACCAATGATAAGGGTTGTTGACTAGCTATCGGGAGAAAGGATGCGTCAGATTGCTGATACCATTTATTTACATTGACATAAGTTGATTTACCAAAATTTTCCACTGTAGCATTAATGATGCACAGATCGCTTGATAAGGTCCCTGAAAATCCCTTAAAAGCACCAATTTTAGTGTGGCAGGTCAGAAGCTGTGCTGTTGGTACGCTATTATTGTCCTTGGTTTCTTCAACAGGTAAATCAGTACCTATGTATTGTATACTGTATGTATACTGTGTGTATTGCAGTATTTTAAGCAGGTTTGTGGTGTTGCAAAAGTCAATTGAAAAGTAATTATCATCAAAAAGTTGCCTATTAAAAAAAAGAATCTTACCAAAACAAAAGAATCTACAAATAGTCAATGTAAACAGGTGAATAAGACACTATTACTGAGTTGTTGACTCAGATACATTATCATTATCACCTGTAAGTTACGAAAGAGAAATGAAACAAACAATCTATCAGGACAAGCAATTATATCCCCTCTCATGGTGACAAGTGTCTTAAGTTCATGCAATCAGCTCGGCCTACTAAACTTGGGAATTTTATTTACAATAACTTAAAGCACACAGCACCATTTTAAAACATTGAGTAATCCTTGCTTAATAATAACCAATGAGAAACAATGGATCATGGTGAAAATGCATAGTAAGCTATACTGATGAGTAACAAATTTAAGTATTGTACCTTCTTTGAAAAAAATTATCTAGGCCTACGCTTTTTCCCTAACACTTGGTCAAGATAACATTTTAGTTTTTTATCAAATTTCCTTATAGGGAAGTAGCTACTATTATTGTAGGTCTCATGGTAAGACTTGAGCCCAGGACCAATTTACTTTTTCATTTTGATGTCCCCAGAGGCTAAAAACACTATTAGCTCAACACTATTAGACTTGTTCCCATTAGCACTACAGATTACTTTGCTTACATTCTGAAAACATATTTCTTTTTCTGCCACTCATCTGATTTAAGCATAATTATACCAAACAGAATAGTATCACTATAAAATTAAGGGTACTGTTTTAATTTGATAAGTGGGTTATTTGAACCACTATAACTTATTCTCCTCTGCATTCCTATTATGTTGCTAAGGACAGCTAACCAACTTGTTTTTTATGAGTTGATTTAAACTAAAAATATTATCTCGTTTTACAGGATTGGACAGCGTTATTGTGCCATACATTCATTCATTTCTCAACAATCAAGTGAATGGACAACAGTTGCTCAACCTTGGTCCGGATGATCTTGAACATTTTGGAGTCTTCAAGTTGGGACACCAAGAACTTATTCTAGAAGCTGTTGAACTTCTTAGGAATTTTGTAAGTGGTCTGACTTAATTTATCTATTGAAATTCGCTAAAAGTTTTAACGTAGGCTATCATAATTCATGATCAGCAAAAGCCTCACAAGGCTTTTCTGTAGCTACATGCCTAAGTGTAGGTAAGGTTTGTTCCACATTCACCTTGCATTCATATCAGCTTTTAAAATATACAACCAAGTATTTGTCACCATCTCAAAGAACTGATGATCGATGGAAAATGTTATTGACAAATTCTTGAGTTTCATTCAGTTTTCCAGCGATTATTACGTATCAGCAGCCCAATAGCCTAAAACCAATTTGGTAGGCTAATGAGGAGACAAATTAATAGGTCCAAAAAATGCTATTACAATATTGTTTTGGTTATATACATAATAAGTTATGCAGATAAATTATTCCAGCTAAAATACATTCTGTTAGCCAGTTCAGAAAGAGTACCGGTAGTAAGAAATAAAGTAACAGACTTATCAGTGTTTAGGAGGTATTAGATTTAAGCAAGGTTTTATAATTATTTAAATTTTAACCGTGCATTCAAATAGACATCTCTTAAAAAGTTATGGCAAAAAATTGTCTAACTTTGACAATATTAATGTATGTAGTATACTGTAACATTACACTATAAAACTAGAATATTTGAAATTCAGTAAATTTATATTTTAACGTTATCATAAATCTGTGAATCTGATGCAATTAATTATGTAATGCTGCCTTTTACTAATAACACTAAATATTTTACGTGTTCAATTATTGTACAAGGAACACAGGAAAGCTTATCATTAAGTTAACGCAAAAGATAACAAGAGTCCTTATCTTGCTTTTGTTTCCTGATGTTTAGTATACCAGCAGTTTTCACAATAAGTCATGTCTGATACCAAGAAATCAGTTGTTTTGGTATGGTATTGATTACATTTATGGGTTATATGATAAGTTTGTTTAGATCTATCACTTTTTATTTGTTCCTATTACTATTTTTATTCAAATTATGCTCTTGATTGCATTTTTTTCAGTCAAAAGTAACATAGGCCTAACTTAATTATTTTTCAACTATGGTGGTTATAGTTGGCTAAATTTTGTAATAATAACAAAAATTAACTAAGTTGTTTTTTTTTTTTTCAATAAAAAGTAAATTGTAGGTACTCTTTGGTACATTTAAACAGTATCAAAAACTTATGTCAAAGGATGTATTGCATCTCCTAAAAACTGAACTTTGGTCTGAGAAGAAAATATTATCCTTGTGAAAGGCTTAGAACACAATATGGGAACTGACAACTGCTGAAAATGGACAGTTTTTAAACAAGCTAATTTTGATCTAGAAATTGTGGTAAAAACTAAAAACTCAAAATAAAAAACAGTATAAGACAAGGCCTTGCTGGTTATAATTCTCAATAAGGTTCTAACCGTACTATTTCGAACATTTTCGTTACCCGCTATGTTCCTGAAGGATAATATTTTAGAAATAAAATTATAATACTATCCAGTATCATGAACCAAAATATTTAAGCACTTGCAGTCCTTATTTTCATTTCTTTTCAAAACCGAATTAGTAACTCACTTGGTTGAACAACACACGTAGGCCAACTGTGAAACCAAGCAGTGGTGTCTATGGTTAGTGTTGGTATCACCACACAATATTCTTAGCACAGATAAGGATATTATTGTTATTGCTTTGCCTGATAACGTTCCATGCACAAGCCTGAGGCCCTTGTTTAAGCAAATTCAACATAAAGTGTGCCAACCTCTAAAAAACTAAAATGTTACAGCACTATGAGCTGGACAGGGAGACTCTGCAGATGTTGGCACTGCGACTGTCGTGTCTGGCACACAGTCTTCACAATGAGTTGAGCCACAACCACATGGACGCCACATTGGTGTCCACTCAGACGTTGGCAGATGTGGCCAACATTGCGGCTGCTGTACAACCTCTGGCGGGATGGCTTGACAGGTAATCAACCATCAATATCATGATTAAGTTATAACAAACGTTGAATAATTATTCAATTGTAGCATGTGACAGATACAGCCCAATCAGCACTTGGAAATAAATTTCAGAGAAAAAAAGTTTCTTGTAATGTAGCACTATACAAGAAGGTAGGCAAGGTACTATTTTGTAGGCTAGGTACTAAACAAAAATAAGTGCCAAAACTTCCTATTTCGAACGTTTTGAATCTCGAAACTCGCCTATCGAATCTTGAAACCGAAACTTTTCCAAAGTTTTGAGGTTTTGAGATTTGGTTTTGACACATCACTACTACACAGATCATCTCACACCATTTTACACTCATCCTCATATTTGGGTTAAAATACACACTTAGATGGTGTCCCCATCTCAATGATTGATGAACATTTGCTTTGCAGACCCCCGTTCTCAGGCCAACTGGACTACTGCAGCCGCAAGTCAGAACTCTTGTCATTGGCTCTGGAGATGGCCACGTCTGCTCAGAGGGATAGGTTTGCCGAGCGTCCAGTAGAGGAGCTGCGGGTTAACTCGTCCAAGATGGCCGTCCTTGCTGACTCCATCATACGGGACATCCAAGACCCCCTGTTGCTGCAACCTGCCTCCTTGGAGTTGGTTACGCTCAAGAAACGTTCTTCTGACGATTTGGTACGGTTTGTGTGAAAACTTAAATCTGTGTATTTCTATCATACGACGCTGATGCACACCGTGAGGCAAAGACGAATGAAATATGAGGGTAGCGTTAATTAAAAGAAGTTTTGCTCTGTTTACTGACAAAGACCATATATTTGCTTGGATCAATACTAGTGATTAAAGAAAAGTAGGATTCAGTCATGCACAATTTAAACTTTTCTTACCATGAAATCTAAACAAATACAATAGCTCAATGATAGTGTGTCGGGCTGATATGCTAGGCTCAGTTGGAGACCAGCCCACAACCACTATCATATCTCTGTGGTCACCAGTCTACACTTGCTTGACCATGTAATTTATACCATTATGGCACTTGAATTTGACACTATTCATTTGCAAATAGGTATATTTATGAATTCAGATTTTTTTAAATTAGCAACTCCAGTTTCCTGGGTTTGCTAATTAATCACTTTTATCCTCTCTATGATAATCTTCTCTTCTGTTTGCTGTAGATGTCTGTTTTGATTTTAAGGCCAATTTTATGGTGTCTTGTCGTTGTTTTTGTATTCTTTCAACTATTCTCTTTGTCAAAGTTTGTTTCTCGAGCCAGACTTTAGCCACTTCAACCAATTACATCACCAAACAACCCCTTTGATTTTGAGAATAAATCCTATTTTACTATTATTTAATTATTTAAATAATTATCAGTTTTCTGTTTTCAGGGTTTCTACATAGTTCCTTCATTCTATGGCCCAAGTAGCAAAATTTTAATTAAATCGTAAAATAAAAATTATTATTTTTTCAATTTAAAATTGGTAAATAATTATTATTTAATCATTATATAATTATCTTCAGTTACATTTTTTCTCAAAATTAATTATTAATAAATCATTAAATAATTGTTTTATAATAATTAGTTTTTAATTAAAAACTAATATTTTAATCAATATTCCTACCAAATTTAAGCATAAAATAAGCATTAAATAACATTTATTTAATTATTATTTTTTTGTCTATTAACCAATAATTCATCAATAGACCTACCAAAATTAATCATAAAAAAAGCATTAAATAATAGTTTTGTAGTAATCTTTTTTAACATCCAATATTAATCATTAGTATCTTCGACCCTTTTTCTTAAATTACTTGTTAATAAATAAGCATTGTAATGATAAAATAATCATCCAGAAGTAGGAAAAAAACGGAATTTAATAACTAGCTTTTTAACAGTTATATTTTTTCCCCAAATAAACCCAATAATGGTGAATATAATCAAAGCCCTACGTACAAAATTGTTATGTATTATTTTAAAACCATAATCTTTCAACTCTTTTTAATTGATTTTATAACTGTCAACACAAGTTTTTTAATACTTATTTTTGGAAGCATATCTGGTTCTAGTGTAGACAATAGTCAAGAGACAATCATTCTTTATTCACTTAAAAGTCAGTTATTGTACATTGAACAGTGTCATTCATGAACAAATAAAATGTTTCACATAGCTAATAACAATTAATATAGGCCTAATCAAAACATTAACTTATAATTTAATTCCCATTTAATTTAAATTTCTGGATACACTTCAGTTTTGATTTTAGCTTTGTCAACTTGTCATCTGGAGTGTTAAATAAATAGCAATGCACTGTTAATAAAGAAATCACTTTTTTAAATTTAATAAATAAAAGTCTAAGTCTACATTCAACAACTAAACAAGGAAAACTATATCCAAGCTATATGTTTACTATAACGTTTCTCATTTGTCACTTTGAATATTGTTATGATTGTAAGATAGTGTACACACAAGCCACCTTTTCAAAAACATTTTTTTTTTACATTAAGGTAAACACTCTTTCAAAGCAACAACTTTTCACTGCAGAAAAAAACTGAATATAGGTTCATAAAAAACTAAACTATTAACATGATTGGTTAAAGATTTAAATTTTTGTAAAGCAATTGCAGTAACAGTGCATTACTAACCAACACTCCAGTTGAAAAGTTGACAAAGTTAAAAATAAAACTTGTGTTGTTATCCACAAATTGAAATTTAACGGCAATAAATTTTAGCCAATGTGATAATTTAAACTGAGTATTAACAAATTATAACTACAACTAAACTAATTGAACATGTGCAACTCTAATAGCTGGGCTCTAAAATTTTAAACAACATACCGGTACATGAATAAAATGAATTCATAGTTGAAATAAAAGATTAGTTCCTCTATATCAAAAACAAGTTAAAATAATTTGCTAACCATCAAAAATATTCTTTTACAGAGAAAACTTACTTTCCTATGAGCCTTTTCTTAATATTTTTCAATTTAAAAACTTAAGGAATTGGAAATTCTAGCTAAATTAACTAAACAATGTGTATCCTCCAATGATTTAGCCAAGTTACACTAACAAATTACAGTAGGAACATTTCATCAATTTACACAAACACAAATTAAAACTTAACAACTACAACCAGTAGAAAAGGTACTAAATGAGTTCCAAAATCAAGTTCAACTAATTAGCTAACCATCCAAATATTCTTTGACAAAGAAAATTCAATTTTATATCAGCCATTTCTTGATATTTTTCAATTTAAAAACTTAACCAATCAGAATTTACTGGGTAAATTCATAAAACAATAGCAACTTCCAATTTAAATTCAGCCAAATTTTACTAACACAATACACAAAGTTACATTAAAAAAACAATAAACATTTACTTTAAAACACAATTAATAAAATTAACATAGATGAATAAAATACACTCCCCTGTTTAACCTGCTGAACTCTCCTATTAGCTCTATAATTTTTTTAGTCTTAATTAACACATTAAAATGAGTGAAAATGTCATAGTTGTACATACTGTGTCGTGTCTCACCCTTGAGGGTTGTCCCACCAGTTACAAACTTTTGAATAGCAAGACTAATAAGTTAGCTTAAAATTTAATAAAAAATTAAATACATTTTTTATTTGTTTATTTTATTGGATTCAAATTTATGTATTCAATAAAATATTCAGGAGTTATAATCAATAAGACAAACCCCATATTGCAAATAAACTATGGTTTAGCTAAAGTGAAATGACATTTATATCAGAACAAACCCATAAAACAGATTAAAAATCCAACTTTCTGTAAATACTAGGGTCATCCACAATGTAACTGCCGTAAGGGGGTGGCGTGACAAGTATAAGTAGTGGGGGTAGCGCTGCCATTCTCACATCAACGTGCGCGCTTCTTGCTGTGCTAGAGAGAGCATAGTAATTGTGCTTTCTGTTATAACCTAAAAACACAAGTGCCGCCATAAAAAATTCTACCATTTTGAACTGAGGTTCATCTAAAATATTTCATATTGGAACTTGTTTTGAAAAAAGAAAAAACAACCAACTCTTCTACCCAAAACTAAACAACTAAAATTGTTTGTTGGCTGATTGAAATTCTTGCTGTAATAGGCTGCCCAAATCACCAAGTGAGTAGTATTTTAGGCATTACCACAGCCACCTCTAATACAAGGCCGCGACGTTCGAACTGGCAACGCCGCAATTACCCCCCCTCTGCGTCCATCTTCACACGCGCTAGGCTATGAACATCAATGAGAGTATTGCTGCTCTGTATCAATGAATGAAAGTATTTAAATTCGTAATAACATATTTTAGTAGATTTTAAGGTATGGTAAAATAGACAAAATTGGAATCTAGGTTGTTTATTTAGTGAAAAATTGCAACATACCCCAATATGTCTAAAACTAAAAATATACAAACATAATGTTTTTGGTTGCATTTATCGTATTGTAAGTACGATGAATGTGGAAATAGATGGACTTTACATATTTCCTTTGTTAATTTGATAATCTACACTATTATATAAAAATCTCATGGTGTCTGTATATATGTGTGTTATTCAACATAGTAAAAACTACTAGACAGACTGTGCTTAAATTTTACAAAATAAAGCTACTATAACAAGAATGGTAATGGTAATACAGTAGGACTGACTAACTTATTGCCACTTCAATATTTGTAGAGACTTTGGGATTTGTAGAGACTAACATATAACAATCTGTTCGAAACAAATTAATTTTCAATTTTCAATAGGAATATTACGTTTTAGTCTACCTGAGAAAAACATTAGTTAGCGAAAACAAAATTTTAAGTTTTCATTTTGAAGGAACACAGTTACTATAAATAATAAATAAATAATTAATACTATAAATAATTTATTTTCTTTGAATAATTACTAAGCAAAACGTTTTTCATTTTGTAAACGATTTCAGAAGCTAGGCCTCCATATGGCTTTCCACAATATTAATAGAATTGTTTCATAACATCAACATTCAGACTGGAGTCGGAGAATACAATGCTTTAATTGTTAGATAAAGTAGTACATATTTTTTACTAGTAGGCCTACTAAATAGAAACACCGGTTTATTTCTTCGAAGTGCTAGTTATTTAAGTTATTTAATCACTTAACAACAGCTTTTATCAATAGATAGACAAATAAACAAGGAAATAGTACGGCTTTCTCATACCTAAAACTCGCTTCTCACGTGTATATTTACACGAACCAAAGTCTTATTCTTAATTTTTTTTACAAATTTAAGTTCATATTCGTGAAAATGTTTCACACAATAACGAGAATTATTTTAAGATGTCTAATTTGATCGAAGCATAGCAGGAAGCAATTTTGTTACTAACGCGGCGGTTCACGTAGAATCTTAGAACACTGTATGTATTATTCATTTTTAATTGACCTATCGTAATTATTCTTGCATCCAGGCACATCACATCTATCTGGCATGCTGTAGTAAGAAGTTTAATGTCATTAATAATGATTAAAGGTAGTAGAAATGCGATTATGTACGTCGGTACGCGACTCCTCCATTCACTGTAATGGTAAGACGACCGCGCACCAAGACACTGATGCGACGTTGCCGCTTTCACTCGCCGCGGCCTTGTATTAGAGGTGGCTGTGGCATTACTCCTAGACAGATCAAATGCATATAGTCACGAAACAAATCATTGACAAAATTGAGATTTTGAATTTGTGTTAAAGGGTGTTGTGTTTTGCATAGGTTGGTTTTCAAACCGGGAGCGTTTCATAAAGTCCAATTTTCACAAAGTCCAAAACTATAACATTCAAATAATCACCGTTTCACAATGTCCAAATTTCACAAAGTCCAATGTTAAAAAATCAAATAAACAGAGCGTTTCACAAGGTCCAAATTTCATTAAGTCAAAAACTATAACATTCAAATAATCACAGTTTCACAATGTCCAAATTTCACAAGTCTAACGTTAAAATATAAAATAAACAGAGCGTTTCACAAGGTCCAACGGTACAGTCTGGGCCAGAAGTCTCTACAGTGGTTGCCACGGTCAGATAGCAGGCACCGTCCGCCGGCGCTCAACTACTGATTACTGATTACTCCCTGTTGTAGCAAACCTAAGTACGGTACTTGTTAAACTAATGCTATTTAAATAGGGAATAAATGTGATCATTTTAAGGAGATATTCTAGTGTAAATCAAATAAGGGAAATGGAAAATCGATTAGTCTGCAGGTTTGCTGCGGAGGGGGTAAACACCACTACTTTACACTCTTTACAACGTATCTACGGACTCACAATTGTTTTGTGACGTGTGGCAACAACACTAGGTAGTGTAGTGCCTACATACCGAACCATGGCAACCTCTGCAGCGACTTCTCGCCGAGACTGTACCGTTGGACCTTGTGAAATTTGGACCTTGTGAAACGCTATGTTTATTTGGTATTTTAACATGGACTAACTTGTATATGTCTATCATTCATTGAATCCCCATTTGTTAAAATGTCATTAATCTCTTCAATAAAAAAACATAAGAAAGATGAAAAGTCATATGGCTTCTTTGTACAATTGTAAATACCAACTGGGAATACAAGATTCTCCAACTGCTTGAATGTTGACAACGAAAATAGGATCGGAATCATTTCACATGGAGAACCTTTCTTAGACTTGATTATTACCGGAGGGGAGAGATGTTCCCATTTTTTAAACCAACCCATTGACGAACTACATTTTTACTCATAATGTTTGGGCCATACACCACACACAATTCACAACGAATTTTAGCTGCACAGTGATTCTTCAAATACAGAAATATGATTACACCACACAATTGACACTTGGCAGAATTTGTGTTTTTAGGTTATGAAACCAGAACATGCGATCGTACTTTGCTCTCTCTAGCATAGACGGTGGTTATTTCGTGGATGACCCTTGTACTTATAACAATACCATCAGCGGCTCTAATAAAAAATTACAAGGAACAAATTTAAACAAAAAGATAACTCATAACCAACATCCCTGGCATATTAGAAAGACAAGACTTAAAATTATCATAATAACTAATAAAATTGTTTTATTCCAGTCTATAGAATCAAGTTTAACTTGCTCCGTTTTACTCGTGACGACACACAGCTTCTTCTTATTGTCCATTTAGTTGAGCCTGAAATCAAGAAAAATACAACTATAACCTCTATGGTATTTTTAAATAAAGTTCATCTGTAAGTTGTAGCAGTTTCATGTATTGACTTCTATTGAAATAATCAGTGGAAAATTAAGTAAAAAATTATAATTATATTATAATAAAAAGTAACAAATACAGTACCACTGTCATAACAAACCTGCACACAATAATACCAAATTTAATAGGACTCGGACACGCACGCACACATATAGGCTATATTTAAACAAACAGTGCTTCTGGCTTCAAGGGATACAAAATGAAAAGTGGTAGTGGTCCCGTACCTAGTGTGTCACCTGAGGTAACAGTTTCTTTCCTGTAGGGAATTAGCTAAAACGACAAAATATCAAAATAACAAACTTGAATTTTAGGATAAAAGTATGAGTTTAAACTTAGAGGTGATATTTTACTCTCTACAAAGTAAATGGCATCAACATCAACAATACGAGTCTACCACTTCAAAGTTAAATTTTAAACTTAGGCAATAGAAAATTATACCTTTTTCAACCGGTGCTGATTCTGAATAAACCACGCGTTCATGCAGTTATCTACTTTTTTTGAGAGGTCTGACATCGTACTCCTCCATATCTTCTTGACAGCACCTGTTATAAACCAACTTAATTTAGAAATATGTCACTGACAGCTCAGGTTGAAGTTAGCCACAGTGGGCTTAAAAACACCTATAGCATGTTACAAAACAAATGGAGCACTGGCAACGTGTCTGTACTCATGACAGGAATGGTATTAACAATAATTAAAACCCTAATTAAATGTGGAAGTATTTTGGTTTAATTACAAAAAAGATTCTTTTCCATGTGGATGCAAACACTATAGATATGAAAACTACACATAATCGTCAAAACGAACAAAAATGGCTTTCAAATAAATGCCACATGTCCCAAAACTTCTTTAAGATTTTAACCAACAGTTAAAATATGCTAATTTTGTGCTTGATGTTTAATGTTTTATCTGTTTTTGTATATTGATGCTTCATGCATTGAAAAAATCAATGCATCAAAAACAGTCCAATTTAATAATTATACTGTATATTTATATGTTGTGTGTATTTTTTGAGCAAAATTAACTGATTTTTAATTGTCTATATATATTATGAATACTAACGTTGTATTAATTGGCATAGAGTGCTGCTCGAAAACGATTTTCTACTGACGTCATGTGACGCCCTGTTCATTCCTCTCCATGTGAAATGAGAAATTACATTTTCATGCAGTACCGTCTTCAGTAGGCTGGTGGTGGTCCTAGAGTAGCTTGTTTTTCGGGCTACTGATACAAAAGCTGTCACCTAAAACAAATGATTCAATTAACATGCTGTGTAATTTCTTGGACTAGCTCTTTACATGGCCATCCAACAAATAGATATAGGCTATGCATGGCTACTAAATGGCTAGAATACATACTGTTAACTGTTTCATAACTGTTTTACTAAGCACAAACTTTTTGATAGTGGAAATCTTATTAATGCATACTGTACACGGATACAATATTTTTTTATTCTTTAAGGAATTGATTTTGGCTTGTGGCAACATGTTTTATAATCAACATTAATTTGTTTGTACTTTTCATTTTTTAATTTCCATTTTCATTTGTTATTAGTAAAACATATCAGTACTTACTAACTGTTTTCTGAGTTGAGGCTGAGAATCTAGCATCTTTTCATATTCGTTGTAACTTTCAATCGACGTAAGGGGAAATGGCTTTAATATTTCTTTTACTTCGTCGTCATCAAAGTCAGAATCTTCATATGTGCCCTGCTGGCTTCCTTTAGATTCCTGGCTGCTTTTCTCTTCTTTAATAATTTCTTTCAGTTCCATTATTTTACATTTGATTGATGTTAATTCACCTACAAAGTGAACAAAGGCAAATACTTAAAAATTAGAAAATCTTCATAGTGCAAATGTAAATATTAAAAAAGTATGGGGACCCCTTTCAGTAGAATACCTATAACTTAACTCTATACAATCACTCGAGATACCAAAATTCACTTTAGAACAACACAACCTTAAGAAACATTTCAAAAAAGTATATTCGGAGGCAAATAAAATAACTTATATGTAAACATAGTCTGTCTCCTTTTTAGGAGACTTAGAAATACCTATATAAAATACTAGAGATTTCTAGATAATTTTGATAAAAACTGTAGAAATTTCAGAGTACCGTAGGCCTATAGCCTAAAATTTTAAAAATAGTGGCAAAATGGAATTGAATACAGATTTGCTGAATTGGAGACCTCAAACGATCAAAAAGTAAAAACACAAAATGCACATACAATTTAGCAAGCTATTTAATAAGATTCTGGAAGGTAGAATTTCTATAATATTGTGCTAAAATACTTACTAGAGAGTGAACACATCATTGCGGCCAATGTGTTAAAATCATTTTTCGGACCTTTCGTCCTGATACAGGTATGTTTTTTAGAAATTGTGCATGGTGTTGGCGAGTCGTCAGTAAGTCTGTTTGGTGGCCTATTTTGGTTCTTTTTTGGTTGATTCTCAACAGTTTTTTTTAAATTTTGTTGGCATTCAATATGAGGTGAAGTTTCAACTCTTGTGCTGAATGATGGTGGTGGAAGGGGTAAAACGGCCATGGGGATCTGTTCTTGCTCTTTACCATGATCACTTTCAATATCACTATCATCACTGCTTGACCTAGCCAGGTAATCAAATTTTTTAAGTTTTTTTTTTCTCATTCCTCTTCCTCTCCTTTCATTTTCACTGCTCGTTACAGTCTTCCGATTTTTTTCCAACCGGACTACATTTTCTAGAGCCCTTTCAAAGTCTTCTGAAAAATAAATTTAAACAAATTATATTAGCCTGTTTCACAGTCACTTTTAAGTGGAGATTTCACATGTCCATTTTAGGTTTGGTTTCCATAACACTAATGTTAAATGAGTTAACCATTACTCTTCAACGGAAAGTCATAAAACAAAAAGGTGGAATCAAATTTAAGAATCTCAGGAAATTCTTTAGGAAAAATGGCGGCAGAAGTAGATAAATGTAGCAGCAATTCAAGAAATAATAATATGGTGAGGCAGTGGTAGGTTAGACAAAAAAGTTTGTTTAACCTTTGTGTTTGTATTTTTGGATTTAAAGTTTTTGAAATAATTTAAAGTATTTATAACTTTTTCTAAGAGATGTTTGGATAGCTGAGGATGGTATTAAATTTGGAGAGTAATATTTGAGAAAGTAACTAAGTTTAAACACTTAGTAACTAGGCTACTCACAACAAATACACTTATTTCAAATTATATACTTAGGATAATGGCTGGTACAAAGGACTTTCTTTTCAAACTGGCAGGTGCTGAAATCCAAAATTATAACTAGAGAAATAAAAATAAACTGTAACATACAGGTGTAAGGTACATGGACTTAAATGGCTGAAAACAAATGTGTTGAGACCTCCATGTATTTTTGAAAGGACGACTTATAGAAGGATATGTGGACCAGTGAAAAATGGAAACTATTCTGTGGGACGAGAAGAATCATGTAATGACAAAATAATCGAGTGAGAATAAGTTCATTTTCTCTTCCATGGCAAGTGTCCACGGGCATGAAGAGATAATGGGTGAAGATAGTGCCAACAAATTAACTATATAATTATATAAACCTACCATTTAAGTAAGGAAGAGAGAAAGGCCTAGAGAAGATAAGACTTAGGAGTAGGACCTGGGATGAATAAAAATAAGATTGAAGAAGAGAGAAAAGAAATATACAAAATAAGAAAAGAAAATGGGATTAGAGATTTGATGTGAATGAGGTCACAGTTTTAGTTTTTAATAATAATATAATGCAATATATCCGACATTGTCGGTCAAGTATCAAGATACCAGTATCACGTCAGGTCCCTACCCCACATCTCACTTGTTTGAAGCTTGAAAAAATGCTAACAAAAAAGTAACAGCTAACTATTACTATTATATAGGGTCAAAGTTATGTGCAAAAAAATTACTTACCTAGATCACGTCTCACGATAGCGATTTCCAAGTCATCCCAATCGCTTTCAGGCATGATTCTATCCTTGGCCAATCTAGTGGCTGTACTTTTACCTTTGTCTGGATAAAAGCACAGGGTGGAAGAGACAATCCACTCGTTTGGGATTACGTCATATTGATCTGTAGACTTGACTTTGACGATTGTCCACATTCTTGGTAAGTATGCTGAAAAGAGTAAATAATAGAAAATTAGCTGTTGCCTTTATAAATTAGAAATACCCATCATACAAATTACTATATTATCTATATATTACTATATTATCGCCAACACCAAAGAATAAAAGAGCTTAATAGCATTTAACTACCACATGTGCAAGGTTATAAAAGCAATGTATGGGAAACATTAATCAAGAATGAGTGGCATTAGTAAGGAATAGTAGGAATAGTAGGAAAAGTAATATATTTTACCTGTAGGAATGGTTGTTGGAGTAGGAATGGTTGTTGGAAGGAGTTTTGGCTAGGGCTATATCTTGCTGACAGTTTACGTTAAACATGCAGAAGAGGGAATACTACATGGTAGTTTTTTCTCGGTATGGAGATATATTTTGTTGCTATTTCACTACATGGCCAAAAAGATCTTGATGACAACCTCTCAACTTTAAAAATTCCCAAGCTTTTACTATTAAGCAGTGGCTCATCAAAAAAATTGTTCCTTTGTAGATACTTGCGCCCTATGACGACTTTGGCATCTAGTTCAGTAGAATAGGCAATGTTCTCTATGACTACCACACTGCCATTCTTCAAGCCACAGCAGTTATTTGGTGGACTTATACTCAAAGTGAAGTCATTAAATTTTATCTTTTTAAACTGGGGACCTTTGCAGAGTGCTAATAATGGACCTTCACTGTGGTGGATTTTGAACTGAGGTTCTTCTAAAATATGTGTTATTGAAACTTGTTTTGAAAAAAGCTCACCAACTCTTCTACCCACTTGTTCTAAGGGTTTAGATTTGGATCTAACCATTCGCTTTATTTTCTGCATATGATTTTCAAATGGAAAAGCTGAAATGGTGTGCAAAGTGACATTAGGGATTTTTTGAGAGAAGTGGATGACATCATCAACTACATGTATTAGCCCATGAAAATTATGTGTTATCAAGTTTTGATCATACAAGTTAACTGTATTTGTTACAAAGTGTTTTAACAAATCTTGAGCATAACGGAGCATATCATTATGTTTACATGTATTGCTATTAAGTAATATTGTAACAGCAATATGAAGTGTCAAAAAGTGTCTGTACTTGTCTGGATTTAAAATATCCTTTAAAACAACAGGTCCTAAATAAAGTAAAAATGTTCTGAATTCAGTTGCCTTCCAATATTTCAGATTTGATAGTTCACGAGGTCGTCGTGCAAATTCTTCAGGTACTGCATTCCTTAAAGAGAGAAGATTTTCGGACAAAATTGTTTGTTGGCTGACTGAAATTCTTGCTGTAATAGGCTGCCCTGAACACCAAGTGAATAGCATTTTACGCATTACTCCAAGACAGATCAAATGCATATAGTCAAGAATAAAATCATTGACAAAGTTGAGATTTTGAATTTGTGTTAAGGGTGTTGTACGTCTTGTATAGGTTGGATCACTGTTTTCTAAGAATTCTTCATTGGTCCTCGGCTGACTATTTATTTGTAAGAAGATTCTTCTCTTTCTTCTCTTTGGACCAACTGACACTCCTTTTACCTTGCATCTTGTGCAACTATTGAACCCATTGTGACCCACTACACCCATTAAATAACTCTTTGCAGGTGCATCACAGCAAAACCCAAGAAAGTTAACTTGTATATGTCTATCATTCATTGACATCCCATTAGTTAATATGTCATTCATCTCTTCAATAAACAAACACAAGAAAGATGAAAGGTCATATGGTTTCTTTATACCATAGTAAATACCAACTGGGAATACAAGATTCTCCAACTGCTTGATTGTTGGCAATGAAAATAAGATCGGAATCATTTCACTTGGAGAACTTCGATACAGACTCAGACCATCGATGTTAACCAAGATATGTAATACTTTAATGTCAATAGCTAAATTAAATAGTTCTCCAATTATAAAATCCAATTGTTTTTTAAATCCTATATGAATATAATTCCCAGGAGGTACTTGCACACTCTTAACATCTTTTGGTGTGTTCATAATTGTTCTACCATCTTTAGGGAGAGTTCTAAAACAAGATGGATGAACTTCTCTTAATCCCGAACATAAACTTGAGACAGCTGATAGAGTGATATTATTATCCGCTGCCCAGTTACGCAAGAAGTTTTTTACAGTTCCAGTAGAGGTTAACGTTTCATTATCAGATTCAAAATCTGACAGACTTGTTTCAGAACTGCATTGATAGTCACTTTCGATAGAAATGTTTGACTGTATAGTTGCATCCGAGACAACAATTTCCATTTCATCCTGGGAGTTTTCATTTTCAAAATGAATATCATCAGATAAAGGTTCATGTAAACAATCTTCATAGGGGGCCCTGCTATCAACTACAGTGTCAGTGGAATCGTTGTCTGAATTTGACTGATGTAGAGTGATAAAATTGGTTGGGGAATTATTTTCACTTAGATCATTTAAACTCTCAGAGCTGCTATCTTCCATCTGCTTCAACCGTTTTCTTTTACCATGCCAACTTAAATTTGAAAATGTCACATCATAATTTCTCCGCTTGGGCATCTTCAAGATTTCTAAAAAGTAATAAATTTTTAAGGCTTAGGCTACTTCAGTTGTGATAGCATGTTACTGACCTAAAGGCATTTATAAAAAATTAAAAGTTAACATTATTAATTTAAATAGATTTAAAAGCCAACTTAAAAGTATATATTAGTTTATCAATTCCAGCAATCTAAAATTAACCTGAGTACTTTTGATCAAATTTCCTGATTAGGAAGTCGCTCTTTACGTAGGTGGCACAATGAGACTTAAGCCCGAAACGGATATAAGTTTATTTTTATGGTCACCCAAGGCTAAAAACATCGGTTGTTAAACTTAATTGCTTGTTGTAAAAGTTTAGTATGATTGAGAAAACCCTCATCACAGTGCACTAGATATTTAAATTACACTCACTTTGGTACAGTACGGTATTAAAAAAATATTTTGAGATGAAATGAAAAAATTAACATTGCTCTTATGGCAGGCAAATCCAAGATGGTCGCTAGCCTCCAAGGACTCAAAAAACTTAATAAATGAATGTGTTGATGTTCACACTTAAAACAGTTGGCGGGCAATTTTTCCCACTCATCTCGCAATATTTTAGGTTTTAGACCCGCAAAACATGCATTAAAAACTGCTGTTTTTGCTGCAGTGTGACGAAAACATTTTTATAGCTCAAAGTTTGTTCCTATCCCAAAAATTCCTCGATTAGTGACTTTTTGAAGTTTGCACGTTTGTAAACCTTATCCTTTTTACGCTATAAAAAAGATATTAATTATTAAACATAACTGAAATATTTGTTGACCATCAGACTCGGTTGTTAAATGCAGATTGACTTAATGATACAAGTTTGATACGAACAATTGAATTGTGTAAATGTAGGGAAACGGGTTAATAAGCGGTATGTAGGCCTATACGGGCCGCGCGATGGTCTGACCCATAGACTCCGCACTGTGACGTCACAGCCACACGGCAGACCTGCCATGCAGAGCTGCAGCACAGACAATGGAAACCATTGTCCATTAAAGTATTATATTGTCTGTGGCTGCAGGGAGTTTGCCCGACGATGTGAGTCAGCCCCTGTATTCTTTAGCCCCGTTGAAGGCCTACCTATGAAATTAACATCATTATTATGCACAATGTGTACAAAATAAGCACACGTCAAACAAAAATCTAGATTAATTACATGCAACAGAAATTTATCGTCGATCCATCAAATTTTAATCATAATATCCGTACTTATTAAGTTTTAAGTTAGCCTACTCATTCCAATAATACAGCGTGTTTTTAAAAGAATGCTGGGATTTTAAACGGTTGTTGCTCGAGGAATATTTAAGATAATTAAACGATTTAAACGTCAAATCGAAGGGAAAAGAACGTTTTTTTCTTACTCTTTGATACGATTCAGAATGATTTAATAAAATTCAGATTTTCATCAATATTATATGAGCGTAAAACTGGCAAAGTATGTACGCTTAGGGTGATTGGTGAATTTGTCTGATGTCTTAACTGAATCCTTATAGGCACAAAGACTCTATCTTTTACAGATAACGTCATTAAGTGACCAATTTAGGTTTGTTCAACTGAAGATTTTGCCGGGCTTCTGATGCAGAATTGTCGGATTTCTTCGATTATATCATCGCTTGTTTTTAGGGGGCCAGGTGAATGTCTTTTCAAAACACTACGGTGCCACGAAACTCATTAAACCAGCTTCAATTTTCTTTATTATCATGTAGATTTTAATTTAGTTTAATTTAGCAATGGATATAAACTATGCGAACCACAGATTACAATCTGTGCCTTCTGTTGCACCGTAAACGTCATACTAGCGATGGCGTCAAGCGTATGAGTCACAATAGTGGCCTACCACCGCGCACCTGTTTTGCGCATGCTAAGGTCAAAATTTCCTCCCTTGCAACAGGGGAAACAAAACTTAAGTTATTTTAGCTTCGATTTGATGCATAAAATGTTTAGTTATATTGAATACAATTATCATTTAAAATCCAGGCATTATTAAAAAACACCCTGTATTTGTACATTCAATATTAATAGGCTCATATCCAAAAAATAAATTCAAACATAGGCCTAAGTTTTACTCATTTTGGTTAACTTAGATAGGCTTATAAGTCATCAAATGAAAATTTGATCCAACAATATATCATATTTTGGTTCTCTTTGGAATTTCAGGCCTTTCCGCAAAGCGTATCCCATTCCGATTTTCCAAAATTCTTAATTTTATTCGATCATTAAGTAAAGATAGTGAAATAAGGTCAAAAGGTAGGCAAATTCAAAAACACTCTTGGATCCTCTTAGTGCACCATAGAAGTTAAATGCACAAAGGAAAAGGTTCATGCGACATGCAAAAAGAATCATACACTAAATCAATCTCCAAGCAGAAAACCACTAAACTAGAAAACCTGCCTCTAGCATGCCTAACATAAACCAAAGTACCTGAGGACCGAGCTCTGCTCGGAGAAAATCATAAGTATGCCCTGATAGCAGTCTTTGGCAAATGTCAAACGCTGAGCCAACGATTCGTTGATGCTCATGCTCAAGATAATGGGACAATTGTTCATCATATTGCTGAAAGATCTGAAGATGCGCGACATGGCCGAGATTCTGAGACATTTTGTGAGATGTATATGAGCTGTTTGGAACTGGGTCGGTTGTAGACGAAGTGGTAAAATTTGTTTCCTGACGATTGATTGTAGCTTCTTTCCCGTGCAGATTCTGTTTGAAAACATATAACACTGATATAGGTAAGCTTACCTAATAACCGAACTTAAATATATAACCATTCTTAATACCCCGCCCCAGCAAACATGCAGACTAAGAATTTCCATTTATCTGGCTCGTTTTCTACTAAAACGACCCCTTAAAATTGTCAGATTCATTTCCTATTTAAATAACAAGTATTTTAATGAGTATTACTTAGGTTTGCTGCCACAGGGAAGGTATTGAGGGCTGTTAATTGAAATGTTGATAGCTTAGTATGAATAACCAAAATTTCCAAATTTGATCAAATATATCCATAAACAAGCAAACAACAAGAGTTTACTTAACTTATTCTCTATATTTAAGAATAAAATTGGAAATTTTAATTTACAGTAGGCCTAAAATTTTTTAAATTAAGTTATCTCCGTCTAAACGTTAGATATACAACAACGCGTGAATATAAAAAATTATATATTTTTTTAGCTCTACAGCTTGTAACTATTAGTTAAGTTATGGGAAATTCGCTAAGAAAACGTTTAGTCCAATCTAACCAATTTTAAAATCCATATTTTTTAGCCCCTGAGCTGATCTTGTGACTAAATCAATAAAATGAAATTTTATTGATTTAGTAACCAATTTTAACTTAAACTTATCTATTTGTGTTTAGGCCCACAAAGCAAATCAAATTATGACGATAAAAAAGCCTGTGTAGGCCTATTAGCTGTTTTTATAAACTACAGCAGCTAACTTACAATACCCCCCCCCCCACGCAGCAAACCTGCAGACTAGCCTAAGCGAATTCCCATTTGCCTGATTGGATTTATTTACACTAAAATGTCTCCTTTAAAATATCCGATTTATTCCCTATCTAAATAGCATTAGTTTAATGAGTACTTAGGTTTGCTGCAACAGGGAGAGTAAAAAGGTTTTTTTTTTTGTAAAATGTTAATAGTTTAGTATGAAATGAATGCGTTTTCCAAATTTGATCAAAATATGTTCATAAACAAGCAAACTACATACATCAGTTTATTTATTCTCCGTAAGAATAACATGGGAATTTTAAATTTATAGTTTTTTGAAATTTTCTCTGTAACCATTCTAGGCGCATAATAACGCTTCAATATAGGCCTACTAAATTGTTTGTTTTTTTAAGCTCTACAAAATGGTTTGGAAAGAAATTGCTAAATTTTAAGCTTTTAGGGTCAGAAATGGGAAAAACCAATTTTTACCCCATAAAACCCCCCATAGACCCCTGTTCCAATAGTCCGATCATGCTGGTTCGCGAACTCGTTCGAATAAACGTAGGTTTACACATTTGTACCAAATTCCATCAAAATCAGATGATTTTTGATCAAGTTATCGTGGTAACGGACACACATATAAATATATATAAGGTAAGTTAAGTTACCGGTAGGCCTAGCCTAACTTAACTTGAGGCAGCCCTAAGTCTTTCCTCAGGCATTCAAAAATAGACATTGCTGTAAATTTGAACCAAACATCAATATATTCTCAAAACTCGGTCAATTACCTGGGAATTGATATAGATTGGCAACTTAATATGCAAACAAACATTAAGAATCTATCAAAGAGACTCAGATCAGCTATACTTGTTCTTCGGGTAATTCGACATAGGCCTACTACAAATTTAGACACACAATTAGCAGTATATCACGCTTATTTTTCTTCCATCATGAATTACGGTTTAACAGTATGGGGTTCTTCTAGTCATGCCGAACAAATTTTGATCCTCCAGAAAAGAGCAGTTAGAGTCTTAGCCAAAGTGTCTCGAATAACTCACAGTACCTAAAGAGTTTTTCATTCAGTTTAAAATTCTTACTTTGTATAGTTCTTATATCTTTAAACTGGCTTTAATGGTTAAAAGTGATTTTGACACATTCATGGAAGATCAACATGAACATCCTCATAACACTAGATTTAAAACTTTCTTTTGGAGAAGGCCTTCTTCTCATTGGAGGAATAAGATGGAAGCTGTGTAGATGTTAAGGCATATGAAATTTATTTTAGTAATAGTTTTAGTATAGAGACTATAAATTATTGTAACAATGACAAATCACCTGTCTGAATATGATGTTATGTGATTATTGGAAAATAAATAAATAAATAAAAAGTTACCTACCCTAACTTAACTTATTGAACTGCAATTGACTTCTAAGCCTAAGTAAGGTCAGGTAATTAGGCAAAATATAAAATCTTAACTACCAAGGTAGGCCTACATGTTAACTTAACTTAGGCCCTAAGTTAAGCGATTTTTTTTTTAACAAGACCATAGGCTACAGTACCGGTAAGTTAGGCCTAGGCCTACCAATTCTTCCTGTTACTTAATTTAGCATCCCAGGCCTAAGTTACCGCAAATCTGTCTTCTAAAATAGCTTAACGCAGACTTTTTGTTATGAGCCTAGGCTTAAAATATATGCCTACGCAGAGGATCCGAACGTAACCAAACGTGCATTAAGATAGGTTCCCGGCAGTGACGTCACCAGAATGTGGGGGCCCGTGACACCATTACCACAACAATACGATGTTTAAGTTAGCCATCAGTGTTCGTGGTGTAATGGATAGTGTACGGCTGATGTAGCCTACAAGAGGTAACTTAAGTTATCTAGATCAAATCCCATTGGTGACATTATTTTTATCAAAGATTTTGCTTAGAAATTTAGGTAAACTTAAAATAGGCCTAACTTAATTTATCATTTTATTTTATGAACAGAACTTAACCGTTAATCGATTTTTTCATTATCAGCAAGTTTGTTTAGCTAGGTTAGGCTATGACAGCAACTGCCAGACACCTAATCCAAGTTCGGTTACCAGACGCATATCCTCTGCCTAAAATAAGTTAGGCCTAGGCCCTACGTTGTGATAGGCCTAACTTACAGGGGGTTTTTTCAAGCAGCCAGCAAAAGGTCCTTAGGCTAGGCCTAATTTCAATTTAGATCATTTATTGCACAGTCTTAGATTGCCAGTATTAAGCAGTTAACTTAGGGTGAGTATTAGAATAGTTTTTAAAGGAACCCATTAGGATAAAATAACATGTAGGCCTAGGCCCCAAAATATTAATGATATTTAATTTCCAAGCTAAGCCTAGGCCAAGGCTTACAATAACTTAACTTAGGAGCCCTACATAAGTTATTGGTTAGTTCGGAGAATGGAATTGACCCAACTTTAAGCTTACGGTAGCCTAATTTTAACTTCTGACTTCATATCATTTCAGTACCTAAAAAGGATTTATTTTAACCTATGGTTAGGACCAGCTTAAAAGTAACTTAAATACACTTAAAATAACTTATGGGTATCGTTTTTAAGAACTTGGAATAGGAAGTTACGTGCTATTATAAAATGTCTTGTCCAACTTGTAGCAGTAGCACTAGGCCTATGCAAGTAACTTAATTTTCATTTTGAGTCAAGGTAATATACACACTTAACTTAGTTTAACTAAAAACTTACCAAGTAATCTTGATGAAAAACAAATAGAATTATTAAAAACTCCAACACAGCAAAGTGCAAACACTGCAAACTCACAAACAATCAGATTGAGAATCCACCAATTGAACTATTTGTTTATTTCTCAATCCTCAAAATCAAAATGGCGCGGCGCTAATCAAAACAAACAAGGGGAAAGTGACGCTAGACGCTAGTCCCACAATCCTTTGCGCATGCGCGAAATTCTGTTGTATACGATATTAAATTATTAATAATTAATTAATTAAGGACTTAAATAACTGTCACCAAATTAATCTTAAATAAGTAACAAAATAATATGTTTAAATTATTTAAACAATAATAATAAAATAATTATTTTCTGTTAGAAGGATTACAATTTAATTATCTTAAAATAGTTAATAATTTGTTTAATAACTATTATATAACCAAAAATAAATTATTTAAAAATACTTTATTTTATTATTCTGCTAACATTTTTTTAACAGCAAAAAAATGTTTTAGCAATATTGTCTAAACAATAAAAACAGATTAATTAAAAATTAATAATAGTCAAATGTCACAACAATTATTTAGTTATTAATTAATAGTTTTTTAATAATTGTAACTTTTTATAAACTTACTACTTTGTTAAATAATAATTATATAATTATTACTCAATAAACTTTTGCTACTTGGGGGTGTACACCAGATAGGAGCCCTGAAACTGAACAGTGCTGCTCATCAAAGTGGCAAGCTGGAACCTGGTGATGAGATTGTACAGATCAACTATCAGACTGTGGTAGGTAATTAACTATGATACTCAACAGCCAGTATGAATCTGATGCCTAACTTATAAAATGTGCAAGCCTTTATATACAGTAAAACCTACGTTACCTTCTTTTAACCACACCCTGTTAAACTGAAACCATGAAAAATCAGCAAATTTTTTTAGGTTATTGGGGTTGTACTGTATTTACAATAGTGCAGAGTCAACACAGTATTCCAGATGTCAATACTAGTAGGCTAATGTGTCATGAGCAAAATTTCAATACCACTAAAAATCTAAAAGGTTTTAAGATTCGATTGGTGAGTTTAATTTTCAAAACTTGCCAATCAAATTTCATAACTCAAAAGACCCTATTACTCTTAAGTGTTTATAACATGAAACACTCCAGTATGCCTTTTATAATGCAAAGGCCAGATGCCTTTTGTCATTAGTTGGCGACGTTCACTAGAGGAGTCTTGGATATCAAACGTCAGCTAGCTTACCTGGTAAAATTAGTCTAGTAAGTTATAGGTTTCCAGTGAATTGCCAAAATCTGACACTCATAATTTAACTCAGTGTAGGATCTCTTCAGGAAGTAGATTGAAGATAACTTCAGTCGGCTTATAAAGATTTCAATTGCAGGTTGGATGGCAAGTGAAGCAGGTAATGGCATTGTTTGAGGAGTCTCCTACAGAAGTGCTTCTGACAATCAAGAAACGGCCGAGGCATACCAAAGTGTACGGCCAAATATACATGAAGCCTTACCGACTGCCGAGCCGTAAACGAGCTGTACAGAACTCCTTCGCTCGGTGGACTGAGAATCTGCCTTCCCCACGACCTGAGCTCTTCACCATACCTCAGATCCAACTGCCCATTGCGAAGTAAGTTATTTAAATCATTTATTATATGTTTGAAGTTTTATATTCTCAATATTATCCAATGTTGGCTCAGAGCACACAGAGAAACTTCTATACAACTACATTTACAGATCAGTTTTTAGGTACCTAAAACCTGTTTGCAGCTAGAATACTGAGAGAATTCAGACAAAGAAGATTAAGGGTACAGAGGTAGTACTATCTACTAAGGTAAATTTTTAATAGTAGACTATAGTAGCAACTAAAAAATTGTCTGTGGGATAGGTAGTTTTCATCCTTCTATACAACGTCAAAAGTACTTTCGGAACAGGGTTAAAGTTCAGCTAGCTTTCCTGAGAAAATACCTGAAGAGTACAGAGGCTAGTTGAAGTTGATACATAATAAAAGGTCACAAAACAAAAACAACTGCTGTTTCTTAATAATATGGTACTTCCTCATTTAGTAGATAAAAGAAGGACGAAATAGGCTAACAGTGTTGTTATGTTTGTGTACTGTACGTGTTTCTTTTGCCAATATAAACTCTTACCCTTTTATGTAAGCCTGCTATCTCATTAAGAATCCGTAAAATCTAAGCCTTTGTGAACTAGGTTACGTCATTAATCAGGCCTTATATCTAAATATATATTAAATTGACTGTTATTAGTTGTAGGGATGGACGAGATTGGATTTTTAGTTCGAGACGAGACAAGACGAGATTTTTTATTTCTCATAAAATTTCGAGACGAGATCGAGACGAGATTTCTCTTCTCATACACAACGGGAAATGCACGTTCGAAATTTTTACCTGATTTTGTAACATTGTTAGATAACTGTTTAAATACTAAAATAATGATAATAGGCAAGAATATTTACAATCTTTCATTAAATAACATCAGCATAACATTTTTTTATTAATCACGCCTAACTTATTAAAAATGCCTACGATTAGGAAACATGGTGATATCAGTTAGGATAGAGTTCAACTTATCCTAAAATAAAATAAATCATAAAATAAAAGCAATATTAATTTTTATAAAATAGTTACTTGTTTTGACTTTTTTTATAGTAATAAAACATTCCTCACACTGCTTACACTTAACAAAACTTCTCAAATGTTATTAAAGTAATATTATTAAAATAATGAAAGTAATATTTACATTAAAAGAATGTAATATTTACATTAAAAGAATTAATTAAATAAGAACGCCTTCGAAAAGGAAACGCAACTACAACACGCTCCTGTATTGCGGGTATTGCATTGACTTTCTGCAGGCGTTTTTAATTTTTTTTTTTTTTTTTTTTTTATTCTCGTCTCGATAAAAATCTCGGCCAAAAAGTAATCTCGTCTCGTGTAACGAGATTGAAAATTTCCCGAAAATTTCCCGAAATTTCGAGACTTGACCATCCCTAATAGTTGTGAAAAACTGTTTTTTTTTACAGATTGTGATAGAAAATGTTTTTTAATAATTCTCAAATAACGTAATGCAGTTTATATTGTACCATAGATTAAAATTAAAAACATAACGTACTTCCCTTAGTAGATTTTTCATCCTTATGGATCAGCGGGAAGACGATTTCAATGTTTGTTCCGTTCGGTGCCGCTATAGGCGTGTTTTTTGTTTACATTTTGTTTCTTGTTACTAAAGTTATTCAAAACCTTGTTTTACCAAATAATACTTTCTATTCATAAACAATAGCTTGTTCCCTGGTTATAAAGCAAAAATTAAAGCACAAATCGTTAAATTAATTAATACTAAAATAATAGGAAAAACATGTTGTAATACTAGAAACAAAAAAAAAAGTAGTGCTCAGTGTCACTTACATGATCTAGACATGAAAAACAAGCTTTAAAATTTACTTTGGGATGAAAATTCTTTTTTGTTACTAGGATTTTTGTTAGGATAGCAGACTTATTTGAATGGGAAAGAGTATAAAATGTTACAATAGACACACAACTTTACAGTATGAGTTTACACAAAACAATAGAATATTTCACTGTCACATGGATGGATAAATGTCCAATCCTCTCTTCTCTCTTCCTCCCTCTTCCCTGGTTGAAAATGCTGCCAGTGACAGTGAAATATTCTATTGTGTCAGTTTGGACTCTTTCCCATTCAGATAAGCCTACTAGCCTCACAACAAAATCCTAAAAATCTAGGCCCTTGTGCTTTATTGTACATCCTTAACCTTTACTTAAGTTAGTTAGTCTCTTGTCTAGATTGTACCAGTTGTTTGGTGTACAGGTCAGTCTCCGTAGAGTCTACAGTGAGTGCAGGCCAGTTGCCCAGCAGTTCAGAAGAAGAGGGGGAGGGACTGGAGGGAGATGGAGCGTCTTCCCCCACCTCTGCCCGTCTGTACCTGCCCAAGCCTCGACTGCCTGTGCAGCGGCGAGCTACCATCACAGGCGCTAGTCCACTCAGCAAACGGGCACCTGTCAATCTGCAACAGGTGTGTGTGTTGTAAAAAAATATGGAAACTAGTACAAATAATGACCTTATCTTAACCAAAGGTAGATCATCACCACTTGTTACATAGGTTAAATACCTCTGCTCAAACACAAATTTAGGTTTTTTTATTTGCCCTTAATTTTAAAACTGGTTGGTTTAACCGAACTTTTCTTAGAACCTGACAACTTCTGTTTCCATCCTCATTGTGACACTTATAAGGATTTGTATCCTGAGTGTTGTTATTTATGCTACTATGCGGAAAAATGGAAAGCCATAAAACCACAGATTTTTTAAAGTATTTTTATATAGTTCACATAGTTGCTATTTTTAACTGACCTTTTAGTGTTTATCCATTTTAGGCTTGGTGTGGGTCAATCTAGTTAACTGTTCTAGCATACTTGATCTTGTCGTTGACATCTAATTTTGCTGTAAATAATTATATAACTGAAATAAGCAGTTTGTCAGTTAAGTTATTTTATATGATATTCAAATTAATATGTCATGGTCAAATTTGCATGTAGTCTGGATGGATTTTTTTTATTAGTTTCAAAAGTGTTTACTTATTTAAAATTAAATTACTGTTGTAATACTTAACTTACCCCATTAATTTGATAGAAATGTTATAACTGGTCATTAACATCTAGGCCTCTCTTGGTTTCAGTTCTGGGAGGAGTTGAAGTTGGAACGTGAGTGGCGAGGGATGGGAGGAGGTGGAGAAAAACCCAAGGTCGCACAACTGATACAAGACTGTGAATCAAGAGTGTCTGGACCCAGGAAGTACAGCAGTTTTGACAACTTGAAGGATAGAAATACTGGCTACTTCTTGAAAGATTCAAAGCCTGATGTTGTCAGTTCTTGTCAAGACAGACTGAAATCCGCAGGGAGTGATGATACTTTCAAAACAGCCGAGACGTCAGAGGGGAAGTCATCTTGTAGTGATGTCACCACACTAGACAGTGCCAGGAGGTTATCAGTTGGTAGTGAGGAAGGCAAGAGTGATGCTCCTGAAATAACAGGGAGTGACGACGTGTTCAAAGTAGTCGATAGTTACGGGAGATCTAGCAAGAAATCTACCGAATTGACTGAAACTTTCAAAGATGAAAATGATAGGTTGCTTCCAAATCAGCCGACCCATGTGAGAGACAAGTCTGATGATAGTGACAGTGTGTTCGTCTCGGACAGTGACACGTTGAGTGAGATCAGTGAAGGGAAAGTAAGCTCTCTGAAGGCAAAGATTGAAATGTTCTCCAAAGCGTGTTCAGAGAGCGACAAACCTAAACCACCAGTCAACAGAGGAATGAAGCCCAAAGTGCCTCTGAGAACCTTTAGATTACCTGTCGCTCCAGAAAAACAAATCTTGCCTAAAGTTGAGGTGAAGGTTGTTTCTTCTGAGTTGACCGAGGCGAAGGCCGATGAGCCCACTTTGACTGTTCCTAAAGAGAAAAGTCCTAGAGAAAGAGGAAAACTGGATAAAAGCTTCAGCACTCCCGCTTATGACTTTTCACCTGACTTGAGTGTTTCAGAAAAAATAAGCATGCTGAAGCAAAAGTTTCTGGCTGATTCAAAAATAGAAACCAAGTCTGATTCAGCGTTTGAAGACTCGAAAAGCGATGTTGAGTCTTTGTCAGGAAGAGACGAAGAAACAAAAACAAATGACAATTCAATTAGCACATCAATACCTTCAATTTCCGAAGAGCTCGCTGATTCTGAAAAAGAAGTTCACGGACAAATAGTTGAAACCATCAACAAACATCTTCTTACCCTCGATTACGAAACTGACAGCGAACCTAAATGGAAAGATAAGAACACAACAGCCAATCTGGACTCTGAAAAAGTTATTGAGACTGAAGAAAAAATCGGAAAAATTCTTGAGACGTTGAATTCTTCTGTGATTGAGCGCAGGAAAGAAATGGAGAGGGACGCGAAAGTAAGAAAAAACTCAACAGAAGGAGCAGACTTGTCTAAAACTATCTCACAAGTTTGTAAAGAAGAGATTCTTCAAACTTACAACCCAAGTGGATTCGTCTTGACCAAACCTACATCCTTGGAGAACATTGCGGAACTGAAGCCGAAAAGTGGGATTATTCCTATTCCACCCAGAGTTAGAATCACCCCTCCAACCATTCACGAGGAGAAACCGAGTTTACCTGATGTTACTATGATTTCTCCGGTGCCACCAGAAACTCCTCGTAGGAAGCCGTTGTCAAACTTAGACTGTGTGGACAAACCGGTGGTGGTGCAAGCCCCTGCCACTTTCCCCAGACAGAAGGCGGAGTCTAGGAGACCTATAACACCCCCTGAACCTCCCCCCCGTCCTACACCCCCTGCTCCAGCTGTTCAGCCAAAGGGAGCCTGCTACAGGGCAATGATGGTTGCCAAGTCTATCAGTAAAACGGCCAAAGTGTCAAGTCCAAGGTCGCTAAGGAAAAAGAACCCGCTTTTGGCAAGTAAGTAAAAATGTGTAATCATAAGGTAAATGTTCCATAAATGTAACTTGTTCTTTTTGGTTTTGAGATAATATTGATTATCTATTCATGCATATTTCAATACAATGACTAGCACGCTTTTTATTCTGGATAAATAACAAAAAAGAAACAGTTTCTGCTGAAACAGTATTCACCTAGTTACACAATGTTTATAGTTTGGAAATAGTAATTTCACCCTGATTGATTATCAATAGACCTCTAAGACATTAAAACCTCAAACTTCAAAGACTTTTCTAGAAATATTTATGGTTCAGTGCCGTTTAAGTTGTCAAAATAATTGACTCTTCAAGACATCTCTACAAGATTAATATTGTAGCAACAGTAATTGATTTGAGTAAGGCCATAGAATACATGTTGTGCAATGACACTGTTAATTTTACTGCCAATAGAGTTTATCAGATAGTATTCACATCAGTATTTTACCAATGTAATTACAAAGTTGTGGAAGTAACGTAGCTTACACATACTTATTTAATCATTTTCATACTGAATAAAAGATCCTGGTTTTTGTTAGTTGACCAGTGGGTTTGGACTTAATTTCCGGTTAATTAACTTCATTTTCAATTTAAAATAGCATTCTATGAATAAACCTCTACTTTCTTAAACAAATACTTAGGTTCAAAACCATTGGTTGTCCTACCAAAACCAGGTTCTTTCATAAATATCTAGATATTTAATTTTTTTTTGTTTAATTTCGGGCGTCAAGTAAGTAGAATTTTGAATGGGTCAGTTGTTGAATTTCAATGTTCCTAGTTTGTGTCACGCAATGCTGAACTTGTGTGTTTGTTTACAGAACATCGCAACGTGACTCTGAAGGAGCTGGGAGTGTGTGAATGTGAGGGTTGGCTACAGCAGAGGTGTAGAAGAGGTTCAGGACAGTGGAACAGAGGCTGGTTTGTCATCAAGAACACTACATTCTACGGTTTCAAACACAAGGAGGTCAGTTTGAGAGTTTCACACACTTGTCTAATATTAAAACTAGCCTTGGCCTTGGATTATTATTATAAAATTGGAATATTCTACCATGTGTAGGTTCCGCTGACTTTCCACTTACCAACACAAGGCGCTGCAGTTTCATTTTCCTTTCTTAAAAAGGTTGGCAGCCTCTTTTTATGAAATTCAGTAGGCTAAATTTATTAAAACCAAGCATTTTTATTAAGGAATAGAGAAGGGAAATGTCGGTTAAAGTTAAAAGTTGGAGTTTGGACTCTAACGTAACCTTTGGTTTTTTTGTTCTCTGCATTTCTCATATTAACCTTAAGATTTTCTCCACAGGCACACAAGGCAGATGTGATGATCTCACTGCCAGGTTTCACCGTGTCTGATGCGGAGGAGGTCAAGTCTCGCAAGTTTGCTTTCAAGGTTTACCACACGGGCACCATGTTCTACTTTGCGGCTGAGAACCAGGAAGAGTTGTCTTTGTGGATGGACTGCATCACTGTTGCCACGAGGCCGACACACGAGACATACAGCACATGTGAGTTTGTTGTTTTGATCTTGTTTAAAAATTTGAAACATTTTCTGTCCTTTATTTTGAAAACTGCCTTTCTTGATTTTCCTTCATCTCTAGAACTTATTTAACTTCCATTAATGTATGATAACTGGGGTCCATCTACGATTTTCTCTGGCGCTTCTGTTAAAATCATGCAACCCAATCAATATAAAGTTAATTGTGTTGTGAACATTATTTGTGGTATGACACATGGAACTTTTTCTAAGGAGTAATTTTAGTTACCTTCTTCTTTAATGTGTTCCTAAGCCAAATGCTGAAAATAATAAGATAGTTCACATGTTTCCCTTCCAGCTCCTTTATTCAGCGAGTCAGAAGGAGAAGGATCAGGGGAAGAAGGCGGGTCAGGATCTTGTTTCTCAAGCCCCAAGATGAAGAAACTGGCAGGACTTCTGGGATCTCCCAGTAAACAAGCCGGCTCATCCAGTAGCACCAACACTCTAGATAAAAAGTGAGACTATGTTGCAACTGCAACAATATTTTACTACTTGAAACAAATGTTTTAGGTTACAGTAGAATCACAATTAATTTTACAGCAGGAGCCGATGAGATTACGATGACCAAAGGCAATCAGGCTTTTAATTTAATTGATAATCACTTAAGCTCAATAACCTTTAAGGTATGCAAAAAAATACAAGTTATTCATAAAAATATAAAATTATAGTATTGAAGTGATTTTCAAGTTCTATAACTATAAACACATATATCTTATTTTTCTTCAGTTAGAGTATTTACGAGTCTGGGTACTGACTTAACTTCACCTTCTCCCTTCTCATCTTCTACAACTCCTTCTTGAACTCATCTTCTACCTTTTATTGACTTCCTTCTCTCTAAGTCTTCCTCTCAGTTCCTTTTCTACCACCAACTTTATTTCCCAAAGAAAGTCCCTTTCACCCTCACTTTCTTCTTGCTTGTTTAAATTGTATTATTCATGATATTTCCACTCTCCCTCTCAAGCTGACAAACTCTTCTGATCTCTTCGTGAACCCATCTCCTCCCACCCTGTTTATCCCTCAATAACTGTATTGGTCTTAAAACCATTGATTTGGCACAGTTAAAAATTGTTTGTTCCTTTGCAGTAACGAGTCGGGAAAGAAGCAGTTTGGATCACTGAAAAAGCAGCGAGGTGGAACATCCGAGGGGGCAGATGCTGGTGGTTCCAGCCTGGACAGGAAATACCTCGGGTTCCTGGGACGAGGCACTGCAGTGCCGGTGCCGACAGCACAGTTCCGCAGCTACCGACGAGTGGCGCCGCCTCTACCTCGCTCTCACCACCAGTCTGCGGAGAGTGTTCTCACCCTGGACACAAGGTGAGTCAGAATACTATCATCTCACTTTACACAACTGGCTGATATGAAACTGTGAGTTTGTTGAAAACTGTATAGTATATGTGTTTTACTGGAAGTTATACAGGGTGTTTACTGCCCACTGGAATTGAAAATAAGTAATTTTATGTTGGTTAGGGTACCTGTGCTACTGTCAGCACAATCTGTGTTATTGTAAATCAACTACAGCTAGACATCAACATGAGCAATTGATTTACTCGACAGCAACACTGGTACTCTAAAGTCGACAGCTCCTAAGTACCAGTTATTCTAGTTGGGTCCAAGATGTCCCTGAAAACTGCCATTGTTTTATAATGTCTTCCCGATAGTTTCATCTTACTGTTGTACTAAATCTGAATTTTTAACAAGGACGTAATAAATTGTCCATGAGATATTTTTATACCGATCTGTAAACAGATTTTATGTTAAGAATTTGGGTCTATCTTTTTCAGGATGGAACTTCGCAGCAGGTCTGCCGATCCCTTGATACATGATTGACCTGCATGCACATCCCTGGCTCATGCATGCTCTTTCTCAGAATCTCACACTTCTATCACTTCATAACCTTGCATTTGTTGAATCATTTTACCTTGTAGTAATACCTCACCTTCTACACACTAAGGTAATCACATTAATAGATTGCTTGACAATTTGTCATACTGCAGCATACATGCATGTTTTTAAAACATAAGCTCTTAAGCTGTATACAGTAGTTATTTTATTTCCAGGGAAAATAGAATAAGCTGGAGTCGTGTAAATCACCTGAACATTTTTGACTTGTTAACATTTTAGTTGAACTTGATGAAGTTGATAGTTCCGTTTAAAAAAATTGTGAAATTGTAAAAATATTTCAAGTTTTTACCTGGAATTCTAATTTTGTTGGCGGAGTGTTGTCTAACAGTATCTAACTTTCTTCAAAAGACCTAAACAGTTTTATTATTTGAATATATTGGTAATAGCTGTTAGTTAATACAACAAAACAAGATAGACGAGCTAACTTAAAAATAATATGTATACAATGTATGAAATCTGGGATTTACTCAGCTTAAATAATGGTGCAGTATGACAAAATATATATTTCGTCATATGGGTCAATACAGTAGAAACTCACTAATCGGACCTCGGATGGTCTGACTCCTCCTTGGTCTGACCGTGCCACCGACACGATAGGCTTCCGCTAACATAACCTCATTGTCCAAGGAAATACAGTAGAGTCCCGCAAACTCGGCGTAATGTGGACTGGAAGGGTGCCAAGTTTGTGAAATGCCAGGTTATCGGAAACAAGGGTTAAAAATAAGGACAATACAGTTTTTAAGCTTTATAACCTCCTTTTTTATTTATATTTATATTACAAGTCAGTATTAAGTCATCATATATAGTAAAAAAATTAGGGATGGTCAAGTCTCGAAATTTCGGGAAATTTTCGGGAAATTTTCAATCTCGTTACACGAGACGAGATTACTTTTTGGCCGAGATTTTTATCGAGACGAGAATAAAAAAAAAAAAAAAAAAAAAAAAAAAAAACAATTAAAAACGCCTGCAGAAAGGAAAGTGTGAGGAATGTTTTATTACTATAAAAAAAGTCAAAAGAAGTAACTATTTTATAAAAATTAATATTGCTTTTATTTTATGATTTATTTTATTTTAGGATAAGTTGAACTCTATCCTAACTGATATCACCATGTTTCCTAATCGTAGGAATTTGTAATAAGTTAGGCGTGATTAATAAAAAAATGTTATGCTGATGTTATTTAATGAAAGATTGTAAATATTCTTGCCTATTATCATTATTTTAGTATTTAAACAGTCATCTAACAATGTTACAAAATCAGGTAAAAATTTCGAACGTGCATTTCCCGTTGTGTATGAGAAGAGAAATCTCGTCTCGATCTCGTCTCGAAATTTTATGAGAAATAAAAAATCTCGTCTCGTCTCGTCTCGAACTAAAAATCCAATCTCGTCCATCCCTAAAAAAAATCCTTGGTACGAGTTGTGAATGATTTTACTTGAGCTGGCTTGAGTTCATGTTTAACTCGGACTCAAAATATCACTAATTTTCTGAGCTAGGTGATGGCCGAGTTATCCAGACTGCTGCCGGGTTATCGAGTGCCGAGTTCGCGGGACTCTACTGTACCTTAACAATTTTATAAATTGTGTTTTTTAGTCTACTAATGTCAATGTGTTGAAATTTGTTGTATAGTTAACTATTTCTGACCATATATGCAGTAGGCCCCAGTTCATAGACAAAAATAAAATGGAAGCAAAACAAATACTGTAAATATTGAAAAAACTTCAAGGTCAAGCTATGCGTTTGCACTGACAATTGTCTGCTCCCTAGGCTACACATAACACATCTGTCTGCTGTGCTTGCTATGTCACAACATTTTGTGATTGGGTATTTGGTAACCATGACAACTTTAGTGGGCGGATGAAGAGAAACTCAAGCAAGAATGGAAGAATAAAGAGAAAGAATAAGCGATGTTTTTTTTATGTCATTGTTATCTTTATCGGTGTATCTTACGACTTTTGTTATCATCTATAAGTAGGCTATTATTATTTTATACTTTTTTTATGCGTTATCTAAAATGTCTTTATCGACATTCTTCTGAAACAGCGTAGCAGTAGCCTATGACTAGGAGTAGCTTACTAGATTTTCTATTGTTCTGTTCTTTATTTTGCTCTATGTTTGGCAATTTGTTTGTTTGAGTAAAAGTTTGAGAAAGCTGTAATTTTAAACGTTACAGTTTTTATTACTTAACCACGGTTAATGACTTAAGATAATTATGATGATTGCGAAATAGCCTACTAATGTTATTTTGATGATATAAATATGCAAATTATTACATTAAAGTCTACATTAAAGTTTATGAGTTAGAAATTTCTATCTTATGTCTTGTTGGATTTACCGTGGTTTTCAGTTATCTGTGGTCTTTTCAAAATAACAGTTTTACTATGTTTTATGCCAATTAACACGTTCCTCTGATAATCTGACCTTTTTGCGGTTCCGACCATGCTCCTGGTCCCGTAGGTGACGGATTAGCGAGGTTCTACTGTAGTGTATTTTCGACTCTTGCTCATGTTTCAGCTCCGACTTCGCAACGGTGGTTAAACATGAGCTCATGTCAGAAAAACATGCTATAAAGGCTCTACGATGAAATATCCAGTGTTGGGAAGTAGCGACGCTACAGTAGCGCGCTACTTTTTTTGTAGCGTTAGCTGAAGCTACGCTACTTTTAAGATTTTGTAGCTTTAGCTGTAGCTAGCTACATTTTTAAAGTAGTTGTAGCGGAATTTTAGCTACTTTTCTCGCTACATTAACATTTGTTTGAGATAGTGATTTTTATCATAACCTAAACCTTACGTGAAACAACCTCTTTCAAACTGAGATTTTCAAAAAAAATAGGCCTACTTTCTTGGCTTCAAACAGCTGGTTGCAGCCGTTTCATTCCCTATTACAACGTTGTGTGGACATAGAGGCCATTAAATGAGTGTTATCCACATTTTTGGCTCTCATTTCCTTAATTTACTACTCTATGATTACTGCCAGATAAAATAAAATCACTAGATGCAGACGACGTTTAAACGAAACGGTACCGGTGACAAGAGAAGCTATTGAATGCTTGCAAGTGATTGACAAGGAAATTAGTAATTAATTTAGTTTCTTTATTATATCGATAATGTTTCAACTTGGGGTTTAATGGAAACCAACACACCTTGAAATAATGAGAAAGCTGGTCTATCAACCTTTGCTTCAGCTGTTGATTGTGGTTTATCATCACAAGCCCTTCCTTGGTTAGATTACGAAGATTTTTCAAAGGTTTACTAAATTAGCAAAGAGGAAATTACCTGATGAGATTTAAGATATGCCTAGACTACATGATAATTGTAATGAAAAATCTCCATATAATATGAAACTTACATTGAAAAAATAGCATCGTTTGCTCCTGCTAACAGCTCTTGTATATGACTGAGGCTATGGTTTAAGACGAATACCAAGTTCAATTATTATGAATATATCTGTTTAGTCCTTGCAAGAACAAGCCTACTATAGCCAACTTGTTACATAGCCAAGTAGGCCTACATGTTATTTTTACTTTACAAATTTCATCATGTTTAAATTAAAAGCCGATTTCAGGATAAGTTTCTGAATACTGTTTTCTCTACCAACTAGGTTGAAGCACAATTTGCCCTATGCATAATGACAATAAAGGACGATTTCTTGACATTGAAAAGTGTTATTTGTAGAATAAGTCATTTATCACTTTAAAAGTTATAGCAATGTTGTTTTTAACATTAAAAGTAAAGAAAGGCAATAAACTCCAATTTCAGTAGGCTAGGCTCTCTAACACAAACAATATTTTTAAATAATCTTTTTGCAGTTTTATTGGTCTTAATTGTTGATATAAAATATCTATAAATGAATCTATATTAAATTAATAAAATTAGCTTTTAAAATATAGTTTGGTTGTATGTCCTTTGAACTTAATGAAAATTACATTTTAAGATGCTTAAAAATAATGCAATATTTAAAAATAATTACTAAATATGATGGGACACCCAACTATTTGGTTCTGTTGTTGTAATGTTAGGTTTATAATGCCAATAAATTAAATACAATCTAGGAATAATTTGTTTTCCAAGTAATGTTATATGCAATACTGACATTTTTTTAAATGTTTGTTCAATAAAAATGTAGTTGCAATTAATTTTACATTTACCTAATGTGCGTGGAATAAAAAATAACGTCTTTGGAAAAGTAGCTAAAATTGTAGCTGTAGCTACATTTCATTGTAGTTGTAGTTGTAGCTAGCTACTTTTTCGGAACTGTAGCTGTAGCTGTAGCTAAGCTACTTTTTTGGAAATGTAGCAGTAGTTGTAGCTAGCTACATTTTAAAAGTAGCTTCCCCAACACTGGAAATATCCTATTCCTATTGTGTTATAACTTGTATGGCTTTGACTGCACCATTGGCAGGTGAAAAAAATGAATCCATCACATGCCTTGTACCTAAACCTAAAACTAAAGCTAAGACCAAAAATATGTTAAAAAAGATTTTTGGAGATGGTTAAATTTTAGATTGTTTAAAAGTTAAAATTCATCAGAATTTGTTAAATAGTTTTTTTTTACTAATAACTGTTAGACCAAAATCTATGGCTCTATACATTACTGCTTTGCTTTTGGAAAAATGCTATGTAACTTGTCACAGTAAATTTTTCACTAGTAAATACTTCATATACAAAATAAATAATGTTCTTTCTATCTTGTCTTTGACGTAAAATTGTAATTAGACCTCATTTTAGACAATTTCCGCACCAAACAATAAAAAAAATCCACTAGCATGACATTATAAAAACGCACCAAATATAATTTAACACAAATAACTTTTGGGATTTGTCACTATTTCCTTCATAGAATATTTTGTCTTGGTTACTTAAAGAACAAAACTTTCTTGATTCTTGTTCCTGTCATTTGTTTATTTTTAGTTTGTTTTACTTCCTAGCTCATACCTGTTTAGGGTGGCTTTTCTCTTTAACCTAAAATAAGCTATTATTAAAAATATTAATTACCAAATCATGAAGGAAGATAGAATGGGTACACAACTAACTTACCCAAGAAAAGAGTTTAAAAAGCACAATAAAAGTTTACAGCACAGTTTCTTTGTACTTTCAACTACCCTGTACTCTTTTTTTAGGTGAGTTAGTTGTGTATCTGTTCCTTCTTTCTTGATCTATTGCTAAGCCTTGTGAGTGATTAAGGGGTTTGATGTTTATTGTCAGCTAGCTTACCTTTATTAAAATTAACTGCTTCTAATAAAACATTTTTTTCAAACCATTTCCTATTTAAATCAATTTGATTTGGTAAAATATTAGTGCTTTACTTTACATTTTTGTTGTATATTTTTAATCCTAGGACTCTGATTTTCTTGGATACACTAGGTCAGAGTTCTCAAAGTGTAGTCCATGGACCCCTAGGGGTCTGCGAGCAGTTTTTTGGGGGTCCGCAAAAAATATTCATATCAAATTTATTTTTAATCACTCACACCAAAAGCCTATTTCTGAAAATAACAGTTATGGCTTGAATCACAAAATGCATATGTAGTAAGCTCGACATATGGCTATGAGCAGGAAAATATTGGGGTAATAGGGGGTTCATTTAAGAGGTTCTGTACAATTGTAAGTCATCCAAAAGCATGTACAGTACCACTTTTCCTTGTCTTGTGCCTATTACGTTTAGTAGCTCAATGAATCATTTGATTTGTGGCTTGTTTTGATTATAAAATTGGCTACAGCTTATTTATAGATAAAAAATGTCGATTTTAGCATCCAAAAGTCTATGTCAAGAAATTTATCTTATTTTCCTTGCGTTAATTATGCCCATGCTTCTAGGTGATGTGTTGTTTCGTTTGTTCACAGTATGGGCAGTTTCAGTGAGATGTCACAGCGTAGTCCTAGAGGAGCTCCTCAAGTCAGTCCAGGACTACCAACTAGTCAGCCACTCCCTCCCGACATGGCAGACTATAGGTTGGCATCACTGGCCAAGAACAGGTGATTATCCATATAATTGTATCCAACCGCTTAACAATTTATGGTATCAATTTTCATCTTGTACTTCCTTGATTTAATGGTTAAATCCTTAGGACATTTTAGGCTCTTGCAAATTATGAAACTTGATATTATTACACATAGGAATGATCTATTACCGTTGAAAATTTAAATGATTACTTTGTTTAGATTATTTATGATTTTGATACTAAGTCATATGACGTTGTCATCCTTAGCAATAAATACAAACACTTAAAGAAGCGCAATGCCTTTGTTAAAAATTCAGTCTGGGAATATTTAAATTTTGATTAGTTCCCGCGGCCGCCGCTTGGTAGACTATTGCAAGCGTGCGGCCAAGTCAGCTGACTGAGAGAGAGAGAGAGGGCGAGACAAAGAATAGGCTTAAAAAGAGGGATAGAGTAGCTTGCCCGCCGCGCAAGCGATCCTAGCGGCGGCCGCACGAGGCTCATTTCGGTGGCAAAATTCCAGTCTGACTATTCTCCATAAGTATTTCGCTTCTTAAAGGGTTTGTATTCATTGTCCTTAGTCGATAAAAGATCATTAAAGATCATTCCTAAAAGATCATTAATTTCTTTTACTCGTTTTCTATTAGATGTCTCAGTAGTGTTCTAAATATATACAATTTTACAGAAATCCTACAATGTTAATTTTTCAAAAGCCCTCTTGTGTTCAGCATTAACGTACCAAATGTGTATTGTTGTAGGAGGAGGGATAACCAGGAACAGGACACGTCCGGATTCGTCACCCTGGAGGCTCTGATGTTGTCTAGGCAGGAGGAAGAGAGGCGCAACCAACAGAACTTGCTGCTTAACCAGCCTCCCCCTCCACCAGTGTCTCCCAGAGGTAGGGTCTTGTCTGTAGTGAACTGCATTCCTCTGTAAGGGTGTGAGCTACGGGAAGAAGCTCTGCTAAAAATGTTTATATGCACTAGATAAAGCAATTGCCCCCAGAGAGGTTCTCTTCCAGGTTGTCTACAGCTTTCGAACATTCCCATCATCTAGGAAATGACTGAAATATTTCAGATAAATGCTGTATCCTTTCAAAACAGATTTTTGTAATGTGACCAAATTTCTGAAACTTATTGTCCATGTTTTCCCCAATTTTATTTTCATTAAGGAAGTAATAAATGTTCTTAATCACAAGATATTTATATACCGATATGTGTAAAACGTTTACGTTGAGAGTTTGAGCATTATACTTAGCTGGGAATTGTGCTGTATATCAATTTCATTTTACTTTAAATTGTGATGAGCAAAGTCTAACGTCTTGTTAGCTCACAATATGTATTGTCGTAATATGTAAATATTTAAATATTTTACTACAAATCACATGGAAAATATCACAAAGTTTACCAATGTAACATAAATGTTGCATTATTTTCTTTTTCACACATTAAGTACCTCTGAAATTGCTTGGTAATAACACCAACATTTTTTAAATACACAGAATTTTTGCTTACGTGTAGGCCTACACTTTTTTCCTGTACAGTTTACATAAATTTATTCTTAATAAAAATATGTAAATGTTGACTAATATATGTGAATTTTTCTATAAAACTGACATAACGTTTCAGAGAAACCACAGTATTGTATTGCTTTGTTTTCATTTGTAATATTTAAAAAAATCACTTGTTACTAATGGCTCCCTAGTCTATTTTAGTGTGATTTGATTCTAAGGCAAGTTGTAGGGAACCAGTGTTATTGCGTTGCAACTGTGAACAATAGCCGGCTCAGGGTATGGTCCCAATCCCTAGGTCCACTACTTCAGACGATAGATTGATGGTAAATATTTCTCCGCTGTCTGTTGCAGTAAGGCCAACACCCCAAGAGACCAACCCCCGCCCCAGAGTCGCTCCTCGGGTAGTGACACCCTCACCAGCGCCTCTGTCACAGTCTCGCCCCTCCCATAGCAGGTCCACCTCAGGTACAGTCATGTCTCACCATCATCATCAGTGGTTGCCAATTTCCAGTTGTTCTCCCAAGCTATTTTTCTGTTTTACTTTTAAATGGGATTTTTATCTCATAATGAATTGCTATGTTCATTAAATTCTTTGCATAGCACTTGGCAATGTGTTAATTGGTGGGTTGAACCTTTAATACTAAGAGTAAATCCTTAATTTTTAAACAAGTTGTATAAAAATGTACGATAATCACAATGACTTTTAGTTTGTATTATTGAACAGCAAAGGAAAAAGAGTTCCAAGGACTAAACGTTTCTAATGTGGAGGGATTGTGCAGTTAAAAATTCTGGCAGTTCCCTATCAAGAAAGAATCTGAAAGGAGTTCTGGGCCTACCAAATGGCACATCAGTATAGTGTTAGGACTGTTGACCACCCATGGACCTAAAAGAAAGCACCTTAGAACCATAGGGCTCTGCCAAACAGAACATTCAAGCTGGATAGAGAAGGTTGGAATTTCCAAGAAAGGAGACTATGAGGCCCAAGGGAATAAGATAAATGGTTGTCCGACAGCTGTTAGGATTTGCCAAGAGACTAAGGCTAGTATACTTAGGTGAGGAGTGCTACAAAAGGTTAATTTAGCAAAGAGTAGTTATACTGCCCTCCTATACAATGAACACACATTAGTTATAGCTTTATAACATATTCTGTTTTTCAGCTTTCACAGAGGAGAGGGATCGAGAGAGCAATAGTGTCACTGTTGTCAGACGCAGCAGTTTCAACACTCCGTCGAGGCTACAACGACACATGGACCTAGACAATCAAGATTATAGGTAAGTGATCATTTTGTTTACCAACTTTACTTTATTTGGTAACTCCAGATTTTTTTCCTTTTTAGGCGATTTAAATACTGCTTTATCCACCCAGTTTCATAATTATTTTGATCAAGAGACTACCTTGTCTTCCTCTGGGTTGTAATTAGTGTTTTCTTTTACACGTCAGTGACATTTTGTATGAAACAATTGCAAATTCTCTTTTGTGAAACTGGAAAAAACTCATAAATTGTTGTTGATCTGGCGGGAATTCAGGCCACTACTCTTGCACTAAAGGCCGAGATGCTAACTGTAAGGCTGTCAGCTTCAACACACCCCCAAAGTGTTGACCAATACTGTAATACATTTCTTGTGTTGTGATTAATTTCTGATTTATTTATTATTGGAAACAATCAAGTCCACCATGTGAGATTCTTAAGCAGCTGATCATTCTCTGACATGAAGGTGCACTAAACTTTTCGAAGATGAAACCATTTTAGTTAACTTAAACTTTTACAGATACATCTGACGAGAGGTGTGATGTATTCAAGGTTCTAACTTGGTTACTGCTCTGATTGATTTTGCCGTTGGCTGTTTCAGAGACGGGTCTCCAGAGAAGCTGTGGATCGACTCACTACGTCGCACAGACAGGAGGTATCCCCCGACCCCTCGTCACATACATCAGGTACATCCTGCGCCTACCCCTGCTGTGGGGACAAGACTGAAAAAAGCAGCGCTGTACCAGCCACCGCCCGTGTCCCCACTAGATACGCCTGGTAAGACTCTAAATGTTAGTTTGTGTAACGTGTTTCGACACGAAGCTGCTTTGGCAGAACCTTTGTGCCTGAGGATGGGATTGTAATGGAAAAATGGCTGTAACTAGTGATGGGTCGGTACTTAACGTCAAATGTCGGTTCCACCGGTTCTTGGGAAAAGTACTGGGACCAAGAATCGATGGTGAAATGCCGGTACCGATATCTTCGGTACCAAGTTAATTGGTCATATTTTTATTTACTCATTTACAACCTTAGAATTGTCAACCATGATGATTATTTTCCACTTAAGGCTATTTGAATGGGCATATTTATCATGAAATATGATAAATAGTAGGCTATAGGATGGTTATTTCAGTGTTAGTTAAGTTGTCGTCACTATCGTCAGCTGATAGTGGTGTAAATATCAACTGCAATTGCTCCACCATCTTCAGGCAGAAGACAGAAGGCAAGCTTATTAAAGACTGGATCAAATAAATGGTTTATTTGAACTCAACAAAATTATTACAATACCTTAAAACCATCCTTTCCTTACCTGAGGTTGATTGTTAATAATATTAATAAATAGTTACAAGTTACAGGATTATTTAATTCATACGGTTCTTTATTTGACTTTGTGTTGTACGAACTATGGATGGAAATACAGAAGCAAACATGGATTTCAATTAAGTGTAAATTAATTGGCAAAAGCATAATACCTCGTTCCTTCAGTTTTGGCTTGTTGGTTCCCAGGTGGAGAGGGAATGCAGCTGGCATTTGAGATGACCCTGGACCAGTCGGAGGCTAAACGTCGGTATCAGAAGGTCGGTCCGACGCCAGCTACTCGTCTCAAAAACCTCTTCTCCGGCCGGTCAGAAAACAACCCCACGCAGAAAACCTTGCTTGGTCAGTTGAAAAAACTATCAGAACTAGAATGATAGAGTCTATGAAAATTTTAAAAGAACAGTAATTTTGGAATTCTGGATCTGTACACTTCTATTTATTATTTTCTAAATTTGTTTACACAACATTTATGTATCATTTTGATACAAAACTGTTACTGTACCATTAACCATGTACATTTGTTAAGCTATAAGTCACTTTAGTAAACAATTTTTGTCATAAAAAGAGAGAGAGTTAAAAATAGTCCAGTGGTAGCTTTTAATCCTCTTCTCCTAATCTTTACAGCTCTTTGCCAACCTTGGCCTCCCACTACAATCCTCCTACATTATTTTCAATCATCCTTTTGTCTTCTTCCTTTTGAAAAACCATAGGTCCAACCACCATCATTTTGCTATCTCAGGCACAAGTACTCTTTCTGGTATTGTAAAACCTTCCTTCCAAGATTTATTTGGCAACCTTCTTCTGGTGCAATGATCACAACCCTTGAGTGCTTGTTGATAAACATCAGTGTATTCATTCATTGTCTTTAATATTTAGACCGCATTGGGAATGTTATGGAGGCTAAATAACATTTTAAGGACTCCTCTGTTAACAGGCTCCCCACGCCTACATCGAGCTATATTCCGTGGCTCCATGACTCGAGCAGACTCTAGTGGTGAAACTGTCATCTCTCCCCCTTTGTCACCACCACAGGATGTCATGGAAATACAGGTATTCCACCCACACTTGTACAGTAATCTTTTTTGTAGCGTAAGTCAATGTGACAAAATGCCAATTATTTTACGTCTAATTTTAAACATTTTAGGTTGTTTGGAGTACTTGCTCTGTTAAGTAAAATCTGATAATCTGAACAAAATGGAATTCCAAGACATTCAGATAAAATGGAATAATCTTATAGAGAGAGGGAGATTAGGGACGTTTTGGTGCCTAGAGATGTAAAATACCTGGGTATAACTGTGGGTATTTACCCACCTCACATCACTGTATTCACAATTTGTATGTAATGACCAAAACTTTTACTGAGAAATAGGCCTAGTGTATTCCTTGCTCTTGTGTGCCTTTGCTCAACAGTGTCAAAGGTGACTAAACAACATGCTATCCAACAAAACAACACAATTTACAGTGTTATACCTCAACTTAGCTGTGTGAACTGCTGTCACATTGCTGTATTTGTATCGTGTTACATACCCCACACTCTCCTTTTAGCGAATTTCCCTATAGGGAAGTAGCTATTACCGTAGGTGGCACGGTAAGACCTAGACCCGGGACCGATTTACTTTTTCATTTTGATGTCCCCAGAGGCCAAAAACACCATTCGTTCAAATTTTTATATATGTATATATATACGTCCGTGAACGCGATAACTTGAGTAATTTTTGTCCGATTTTGATGAAATTTGGTTTAAAGGTGTAAAGCGGGATAAACTTGAATGAGTTCGCGAACCAGCACGATCGGACCATGGGAACGGGGCTTTACGGGGGGTTTTATGGGGTAAAAATTGGTTTTTCTCACTTTTGACCCTCAAAACACAAAATTTCTCGATTTCTCTTTAGACCTTTTTAAAGAGCTTAAAAAAACAAATAATTTAGTATATAAAAGTATTTTTGTTCGATTATTAGTAACGGAGAAAATTAAAAAAATTGTAAATTTAAAATTCCCATGTTATTCTTAGGGAGAATATTGTCAAATGTTGTAGTTTGCTTGTTTATGGATATATTTTGATCAAACTTGGCAAATTTATTTATTTTGTACTAAGCTATCAATATTTTACTCAAAAACACACTTCATTAGTTTCCTTGTAGCAGCAAACCTAGGTACTCGTTAAACCTAATGTTATAAAAATATATTTAACTGAAAATCAATTCAGACAAATGGAAATTCGCTTAGTCGGCAGGTTTGCTGCGGCGGGGGTATTATATAGATTAGAAATATTTTGTGTCCTCAATTTCTTTAAATGCATAGGTGAAATAAACAACTGAACAGTGAAGTATCCATTTTATGCTGTTGAGTAACACAATCCTTTTTTGGTTTCAGGTTACCAATCCCACTGCTCCGGACTATCCGGGTTTGGAATATCCTCCGGTGTTTGAGCCAGGAACTTACTCTCTGGCTGACGCGTCGTCTGTGCTACGACACCGCAACCGAGAAGCCCGGTGATGTAAAAATCGGCCCATACGCGAGGGCTTGATATAGACATGTAGCTATACTTAGTTGTAGTGATGTGTCAAAACCGAATCTAGAGTTTACCGAATTTCCAGAAACAGTTTAAAACAAATATGTTTAGTGGGGTTTTTGTTTGTATATTTTGAATTTAAGGTCAAATTTTCTATCTAGTTCAACCTTACATTCCCCATTCTACTCCTTTCTTCTACTTTTTTATTTATGTATTGGATAGAGCACCTCTATATTCTAATGGTCTTAGTTTAAATTCTGCCAATCACTAATAAGTCATATGATATAGTTATATTGCAGTGGTTTGGGGCCTACCTTAGAAATCTTAAAGCTAGGCCAAGTGTCCTAGGAGGGGGGAGACCTTTTAAATTATGACATGTAAATTTACCTTTTTTAAAATGTAAAATACAAACAATTATACCTTATGTTGTTTAAGATTTAGGATCACCTTTAAGGAAAATACAAATCGTTTTTAACCCTTAGAGTGCCAGGCGAGAAATAAAAGTAACGCTCAAAAATGCCGATGATTTTTCCCGAAGGTCGCGCTAAAAGTGCCGAGCGCGATCTGGTGATTTTTAGGTTAAAATTTCGTAAAAATCGAATTTTCGATATTTCGACCAACGAAAATCGATGTATCGCATCTAGTAACTTTCGACTCAATGTTAATATATGGGTTAAAAGAATCCGAGTATCCATTCGGTTGTTATGACAGCTGTTCGATCATTACGAAACGTCCGGTCAGCCGGACGTTGGCACTTTTGGCTCGTTCTAAAAACGTCCGGTCGGCCGGACGTTGGCACTTTTGGCTCGTTTTAAAAACGTCCGGTTCCCCGGACGTTGGCACTCAAAGGGTTAAAATAAAGTAATTATTCCTGTAAAAGTTTAGAAAATTAACGAAATTAAATTTTATGATTATATCTAGATTCAAAATTCTTCAATTTGACCATCACTGTTTACTAGGTTTAGCAAAGTTGAGCAGAAAATGAGTAAAGAACATGATAGTCAAAGTCGAACAAAATATTCATATAAATTGTTTGGGTTAAATTTATGAAAGAGTTTTATCTAGTTTTAATAGTTGACAGAGTCATGTGTCAAAATTTTGTGCCTTTGTATGTTTTAAAGCTTTTATGTTGGATTGATAAGGTTTTGTTTAGATTGTTACCTTGTGTTTGAAACTAAATAGCTTTAGTTATACAGTTAGCCACTAATACGAAATTCTTAAAAAATTTCTTAAACTGCATTAGTATATAATATATGGTACTCATAATGAAAACAATATTTATCACTAATGAATTTGTTATTTAATGTTATCATTAAAGGTCTGATAGTGATAAGAATATTAGAACAGGTGAAAAGTTTTCTAATGTTTACCAATAGAACAGCTCTAATAATTTTGTACTATTCGGTATTCAGTTTTAGAGTGGTTAAACTGGCTGATAGATTTACCCATCTCTTGAGCTTTTTAAGGCGAAACAATTTCCTATTTAGTAATATAAGAAATAATGACTATGCTAATATTTTCCTTGAGCTTTTGTGATTATTTTAGTTTTCCTTTGTTATATTTATAGATATTCTGTTTACCTATGTTCTAAGCTAAGACTAAAGCCCGTCGCGAATCGTAGACCTTTATCGGTTATTGGATTAGCTTTTTATGTTATTTGGGCAATAATATGACAATCACTCTGAATATAGCTAGTAAACTGTGGAGAATACTTCTGATTACCTACTAAAGTTTGGTGTGAGTTGTAACTTATAATGTATTTTAGGAATCGTAATGAGTAGACTCTCAATTGGACACCTCTGAACCACTATGTGTCCTCTTCCTTTTTGGTGATATTTTTATAAGTACGTCAACTAAGCTCTCCATCTTTTCTAATCCATTTACAGTTCTTTTTCCTCCACGATCTGCCATCTCACACTTTTCCTCACCTTTTCCATCGACCTTTTCGTTATCTCCTATCTGTCACTTTCCCCTAGGAATTATCTCTTGAATTCTTCTTACATCATCTTGCTTGGTTTTGTTTTTTCAACCCCTCCTTTATTTTACTCTCATCAGCCCTTTAAATATTCATCTCTACACGTTATATGAATCTATAAGGACACAAATTACAATTTCAAAATTAGTCTACTACAGTGATTGACTAAAAACAATCAAAGAATACTGCAATATCATCTCTTGCATCGAACAAGTTGTGACTTGTTTATTTTCGTAGTCTTGGACAAACGAGTGTGTGTGACTCGCATAGATGGCCGTCTGAACAAAACGTGCCAGAACAAGAGAGAGTCTACTGTTTAATCCTGTACTTTGGTGTTATAAATACATTACCACCTATTAATTCTAAAATACTCACTCCGTGCCAAAATAGTGTTCTAACTCTTGCAACATGGAACACCAAAACTGTTTTAGATGTAGTTGATAATCATATTCTGTCTTTCACTTCCTTCTTACTTTCAAATTGAAAACGTAGTTGGGAATTGTATATTTGTATGATTGTTGTCGTAAATTAAATATATTTATGTGGATTAGTTAACAAACTTGCCATGTTTACGAGTTGTTACGTGTTATTTATCTTGATCTTTTATTCAACAGCTTATATTTGTAAATTCTTGTGATCCTCGAACTGTATTGTGATGTAATTTTACTCATTGTATACTATGTAAATTTTGGTTTTCCAAGTAAATAATAATACTGAGAGGTTTTAGATATTTTATATTTTAAAATTGTTAATACTAGTACAGTAGTCTATATTAGTTAGTAAGAATTTTATTCAATAATGTATATAAACAGTTTAGTTTAAATATTGTTTTAAACTAAGGTGCTAGCTATATAGTAAGTAATAATAAATTATCTAGGATTTATTTTAAATAAGCAATATTTAAAGACTCATTTGATATTAGCGTTATTTATTCTATATAGTTGTTTGTTAGTGTTTCCATTTTATTTATTACGTTTGGGTAACAGGGACTTAGTTTAGAACATATTATTAAAAATTATATGTTAAACAACAAAAAACTAAAGAATTATAGAGAGAGCTGCTTATAGACTTTGCTTTTGTATACTATCTCAATTATATTTTAAGTAATGTTTAAAGTGCCATTATTTCAAGTTTAATTAATTAAAGTTGTTTATTAGGAAAATAAATAATTGTATTGAAGTATAAATTGTTAATAGTGTTATTGTTTCATTATTTGTAGGGCAAGTAAGAAGAAACCAATATCGGAACAAAATATAGTTTATTCAGGAAATGGTTAGACTGTTATCATATTCACTTCCTTTGCAATGTGAAAAGTCTCAGTATACGTAGGAAAGAAACAATGTTGTTGAATATTTGTTCTACAAATGCTCTCGTCTGTTCTATAATACAACTAGTTTTTTATTCAATCTTATTATTTATTCTATTTTAGTTTTATTCATATTTCTGCTTAATGAAACAATAATTTTTAAGAACAAAATAATATAATGGTCTAACTGATGAATTCTCTAAAAACTATTGCAAGTCTTTAGTGTTCTAATAATTTTGGTTTACAGTCCTGCATCTTCTTAAGATTCTTTAAACCTTTTTGCTGGACAAATTTATAATTAATTGCCAATTGGGAATTCCACGTTCTGATTGCAAAGGAACTCTTCACATATACAGTAGAAACAATGAACAAACAAACTTAAATTGTTAAATGTTAAATGCTAGCCAACTTGGGTAAAAAAAGAATCATTATAATTTGATTGAAAATAATTATCTATCTACATGCATTAATTACCAACAATATTGGTTTTTATTGCAAGATTTAAGAGTATTGGTAATCATAAAGTTAAAATTTATTGGACCCTTTCTTTCACTTAGTGTATTTTATTTTATGTTTTCTCACAAATTTATGCAGCCTATTATAGGTGTCAAAACTCATTAAAGATATTTTAAGGAATCCTATCCAATAACTGTTAATCATACATTTATTTAAATAAACTAAGTATCCCAAATGAGGAAAGAGTCAAAGTGTTATACCATCATATTTTAAGTTTAGTGTGTTTTGTATATTTTTTATTTCTACATATTGTAGTTCCATACATATTTTCTAGTACAATAAATATTTTCTGTTGCGTATGCTTTTGTTCTTTCCCTGGAAAATAATCTTTAAAACATAGCATTACAATCCTTATGTTTCATGAATAGCTCATTTCTGTAGGGAGTAATGACAAATATTTTCTTTGTAAAAAAAGTATTTATCTAATAAAACAGTTAAAGCATGACCAAATTGTGGTTTTAGGGTAATCTGCATTATTTAACTTCAAATATAAACCCTAACACCACATTGGGGTTTATTCATTGGCAGAAACAAAATTTTAATCTGTTATAGTAGTCACATAAAGTCACTAACAAGACTACAAGATCGCGCCACTCATCCTACATTCATCTCCATTCATACTTGGCTTAAAATACCTACTTTTTATGGTCGCCATTTCAATAAAAAGTATTAAAAGTATTAGTTAAAAAAGTTCTGAACCAATGTGTGTATGGGCAACTCTTGGAAATTCAAGTGACGACCCTACAATCCTTTAACTGTGGCGCTGAAACTCAGATATTTGAGTAATATAGTAAATGATTGCACTTTAAGTGCTTTACTTGTAGGAATAGCTAAACTTTATATAGCACAGATGAAGCAGTGATAGCTTGAATTAGAAAGCTATATTTGGCTTTGCAACAACATAAACGTTTCTGCTATTTTTCAAAGAGTAACACAGGCCACTTGGCCATATTTTAAATTATACACAATAGAACTCTGATATGCAAACTCATACAGATCTCTAATCAACTGGCTCACCTCAATAAAAAATAAATCAACAGAAAAATTAAATTTATTTGACAAAGTAATAATCTGTTACATGTGTTGTATTGTGAATATCAGCAGTGTTGTATTGGTCGGCTGTAATAAGTCATCTGCCCTGTGCCACTGTCCATTCATCCATATTTTATTAATTTTTATTAAGCCTATGCCTGTGACATTTTTATTAAAGCCCATTGTTACAAATTTATTGATAGCCCGATGACAATACTATCCGGATCCGGGTCTGGTAACGATATCGCATGGAATTGAACTGGTGATCTCCAGATTTGAAGGCGGAGCATTCAAAGGTGAGTAGGGTAGCTACTCAGCTATCCAGACAATTTTATAGTGTTTATCCAGACATAGATGGTGGTATTTGAATAAAGATTATTTAATTACAATGTAGAGTATTTCGCTTGGTACTCGGACACCTTAACAAGTACCATATGCCTACTTTATTAAAAAAGGCACTTTTTTATGTTTTAAAAGGTATGTACAGTACTTTAGGCCTACTTTATTATAAAGCTAATTTTACAAAAAAAACTTGGATGGTCAGCTTTCAATATTCTTTTATCAGGAGCATATTTTTTTACAAACAAGTCTATTCTGTGCTCAAAAGTATTTGTTGATGGTTGAGTCATTTTTAGCAAATCAGTATTATCGGTTTTTGTTTTTGACAAGCTTATCTTTTGAATTGCAGATAAGTATTGTCTTGAAAAGTCTTATTTTTCTCCTCAGATAAGTGTTGTGACTGGTGGTCTGTCTGATTGAGTTGGTGAACCACCAGAGGTTCTTATCACATCCTTTTCCTGACTGATAAGACCCTTTGTTATCTTTTTAGCTGTTATTTCCCTCTCTTTGAAACCATATACTCTCATTTCGAGTTGGGGCTCCTGAGTGGTCAAGCCTTCAAGTCAACTCCAAGTAAGTTTTCTCAAATCTTGTATTGTGTATCAAAATTGGAAACACAAAAGTTTTAGGTATCCTTCATATTGTTTGCTATGCCGGTGAACAATATTTTCTAATGTTCTTCCTTAACTTGCATAGTATAAAAAAATATCTATACATTATTAGTACCGATAGTAATTTTAATTCAGAATGTTATACTTGCATTTTTCAATTATTGATGTAGAAACTAAAACTTTTTAACTATTCTTTAAAAATAACGTTTGCAAGAAAACTGGAGAAATATTATTGCATTGCTGAATTGAAATCAAATGTCCTAGGACATTTAATTTGTGCCTCTTTATCATCAGTCTTATAGTAAACTGTATCTGGAGACCCGTGTGCAAAATTGCACATTGTAACGGGGTTCAAAACTGGTTTCTGAGGCAAAACCCTTTCATCTTTTAAATATTATGTTTGAGAAAGTTATTAGGTTTTAAAACTACAGTAAAAAACAAATTGTGTGCTTTTATCTACATAACTGGTAGATACATCATAAAGGGTTAATTTTACCTTAAACATGTTAACAGATAAAAAAGTAGACTTGTAGTTTTCATAAACTCTTTTGTCTTTCTTTAACAACCTGACTGGTTAAACGATTCAACTAAAGGATCAGCTATTCACATTTTTAAATGTTAGAAAGAAAGTTGTTCACTAATTATAATTACTGAATCTTTAAAAGTGAACTCTAGATATAAATAAAACTAGTGGCCTGTAGGGGCCATAGCCCCTAATTTAGACAAAAAAAAAACTAAAAATAAAACTACAATATAGTACGTTTGAAATATGTTTTTAAAATTATCAATTTTATGTTACTTAAAATTAACATGTTTCTTGCTTTATATCTTGGTTTTCCTTCCGTTGGAGTCGTATATTAGTTGCTTCTTATGTGTCAATGAAATACAATTAACTGTCCATATGAAGGCAACTGCCCATTTCGTGGTAGTAAGTCAGAAATATATCTATGGATTTGTCCCTGAATTTTAAAACAGTAAGGCCCATTTCCCGGAATCTCTGTTTGTGTAGCGGAAAGCGACGCAAAAGCCATGCATGTATTGCCTAATATTTTTTATGAAGTTAGAATCATATAAAAACATTTCTTTTATTTAGTCATTTACTTGTGGACATGTTAATGAGTCTTTTGTGGCAATATGCGATGAAATGTCCATTTGTGGCCTCCTCTGCGAAGTGAAATGCGCGAAAATGCATGCAAGTGCTGTTAAGAAAACCTAGATCGTGAGAAAAAATAATTAACTTATTTTTCACTGTTCTTCTGAAGGCAGGTTGTAAACCAGCTTGTGGATTTCTTTCATAAGGCCTTAACATGACGTTCTCTTTCAGCATTTCTTGTGTCAGTTGAATTCCAGGATACTCTTCCACGTCTTGCAGGTATTCCCCTACCCTGTCTAATTACTTCACTCATTATAAAAAGGGAAAAAATGTTAACAAATACATTTCATTTTGAAACATTATTTAACAACATTGACTTTTGGAATGAATGTAAACATTGCAAATAAATAACAGCTGATTAGAATGCAGACGTTTTTCAGTCCCCGTGCTTTTCTTAAGGTGGATATTTTACGTTATATCTCGTTTTCTGGTAACGTTATGGGAATTCTGCTATTTTTCCAGGGTCCCTGGGGTCAAGACCTTTGATTTAAGAACCCTTCCACTTTTCTGCGACTTACCAGACGTCCACAATTTTCTGGTAAAAATTTTTTCTTACAGAATTACACAGACTGTCCCAAAAGTACCGGACCGGTTTAATATTTTCTAAACGACAACAGATAAATCAATAAGATTTTGCAAATCAACACCACACTTAAAAACCTACTATTTTAAGGAACTATCAATTTTCTGTCATATCATGGGGACTTCCCGCAAAGAGTCAGAAGGAAATCTTAAACAGAAGCATAGGTTGACATGCACATCAAATTAAAGACCTTTACTAGTAGATTACAATGCCGTAAATTCAAGCTCAAAAGAACGCCTGAGTGAAAAATGGCAGCCGTTCAAAGATTTCTTGAACCTTCCATTTTGAATCTTTGAACGACTGCCATTTTTTACTCAGGCGTTCTTTTGAGCTTGAATTTACGGCATTGTAATCTACTAGTGAAGACCTTTAATTTTATGTGCATATCGACCTATGCTTACGTAAAAAAGTTTTTTCCTATTCCTATAGGGCTGTTCCCCCAAATGCAAATTAAATGAAACTTTGAACCACTGTCATTCTTGACTTGGTTGTCAGTTTGAGTTCAAATTTGCGGCATTATATTCTGCTAGTAAAGACCTTTAATTTGATGTACATGTCAACCTATGCTTCTATTTAAGATTTCCTTCTGACTCCTTGCGGGACGTCCCCATGATGTGACAGAAAATTGATATTTTCTTAAAAAAGTAGATTTTTAGGTGTGGTGTTGATGTACCAAATCTTATTGATTTATCTGTTGTCGTTTAGAAAATATTAAGCCGGTCCGGGGCTTTTGGGACAGTCTGTATATAAGGATGCCATGGGAGTGAAGCCTTTTTAGTTACTAATTACTAATTTTAGTTACTAATTATCACTCCGCTAGATCACAAAGCTTTAAAATTACACCTCAATTGTAAAAATCTTTTAAGTAGGGCGACTGAAGAAGGGCTGTAACAGAGAAAACCCTTACCTATTGCATTAAAGTATAGATATCTGTGTAAGTCATAAGAAACAAATTTACAATGAGGGTCGATTTGCAATGCTTTTACACAACAGGTTCCAATAGTTCTGGAGTTCAACAAGGGGATCAAGAACACTTATTCTATTCCTAGCAAAGCTTCGATTGTCATAATTTATATCGCTGTTAGGCATTTTAGAATTACTATGCAATAGGCGTTAGTCAGGTACTTTTTACAAACAGCAGACCATGCCAGGGCTCTTTACCATGCTGTAGATAATGTATTAAATATTTATATTTAAACATGCAGAAGATTTTAATCAAATTATTTTTTCTTGTGAAAATCTAAAAATTGAATGTTGTACATTATCAAGGATGCGGTACATCCTAGAGTGATCGAATAACTTACTTTCAACAAACAAATTTCAAATTTCATCAATTGCATAAATTTTCTGATATAAAATCAGTTCTGACACTACATTTGCAACCAATGAAGGCATATAATTATAAAAGAGTTTAAAGGAATCGATGTATTAATATACAGTAAGAACAAAGAAGATTTTTTTCCAAGCTCGAACTTTCTTGGTTAAAAGTAACAGTGAAATTTTTTATGGTGCAAATTGTGCATTCTAACAGGGTTAAAACTAGTCTCCGAGTCAAAACCCTTTTATATTTAAAATATTATG